TGCAACAAATCTCAGATTACTGGGTTGGCTTAGGTTGTGGACAAAATCCAGGGAAACCAGCAAGTTTGGAATGATGCAGAAAGACGAGGTGATGTCTATCAGAAAGATGGTTACTATCATGTCAAGACAATAGCCACAGCCATTGTGCCCTGCCATGGTCTTGCATGGTGGCCAAGCCAACCTCACCAAGGATGAGAGTTCGCAGGTGAGTCAATTCATGTCGAGCAGGCCCTGGAGCCAGTTTGGCACTGGAGCTAGTTGTGGTGGTAGTGGTGGTTGTGGTAGTGGTAGCAGTGCTTCCTCTACACCAGCTGTGGTTACTTCATCCTCAGCATTGCCAAAAGCGATTTCTGATGCTCCTGTTAAACTGAGCTGGGCAAGTGTGCAGCATGACATCAAAGAAACCAAAGTGGTTCAGGAGCGACTGGGTAGAGACAAGAAAGACCAAAAATCAATGATACTTTGAAGGATGCCCTCACTGAGCTTTCAAAGACAGAATGCATGCTTGGACAATGTTTCATTGCCAAGTATGACTGGTTCATTATTGCCATAATCTTGTTTCATGCCTTTTCTGACTTTTCCTCATTTTTGCCATGCTCTTGTTTCATAAATTTTGTCAGTGACACAAGCACTACCCATGATCAAATCATTTGATCCAATCCAAGTGCCAAGGAAAAACACGAGACCTGGTCAAAATACATGAGGTAACCCCATGCACATAGGTCAGCAGCACATATATAGCAACCCCAAGAGAACATCAGACACATACCATATAACAAAAGAAAATAAATAAATATATGTAAAAACGAAGTGAAAAAAGCAAGAACATTAAAACTTACCTTGAAAAAGGTTCTCAATAATTACCTTCCTACCTTTTTTAACTAATAGTTAAAATAAAAATGCACAAATTATCTTCATCAAGGTAATTTTTTTAGAGTTACCTATTTTGCTCCAAATAGCCTTGCCTGACCTATAGGGAAGCGGAGTGGATCCACCGTGCCTTCAACCCCCCCATTCTCTTTGAGGACATGAAGTGTTTGGGTACCGGGCGTGGCAAGGATGCAATCACCAATCAGTTCCACTCTGTACCTAAGGCGGACAGTTTTTAAATTTTGGATGTTATATGAAGCTGGGGATGGTTTAAATTTTGAAAAGATAAAATGAAAGTAACTGCTCTTTGTGGCTCCCTTTCAGGTGACGGGTATGACTATTGGATTTCCTTGTACATCGGTGTCATCGCAAAATATGGATCCCAAAGCCTTTACTGACACCAGTTCAGTTACCGGGGGGGATTCAAAGCATTGCTGGACTACGTGGACTACAACGATAAGTTGGAGTGGGTGATCACTGAGAATGTGCATACCCTAACCCAATGTCGTCAAAAATTTGGAAATGAGTGTCCAATCAACATACAAAACCGAGCTATGGAGCAGAGAGGCTTTGTGCCAGCTCATGCTTTGGCTTGCTCTTCAAAGTTTGGGGTCCCACAGTCACGTTCCCGGTGTTGGGGACTCTACATCAAAGCGGGCTGTTTGAAGGCTTTTGCCCCTGATCCATGCAAACTCTTTGTTAGCTTGGGTTCTATTGCCCCTTCCAACGTCCTAGATGGGAACTTGGCATGTTTGGCAGCACCATCCGGGCGGAAGGCAATCCAAGATGAAAACAGTTTAAAGTTCTGAAATGTTTTGAAATGTGTTGATATGATTAACCCCCCAAAAGTACATAAGGGTCCTTAACCTTTATCCCCAGATATGCCATTTACATTTCAAATCTCACCATGCCTATTATGCCCCAACTGGCGCTGAAGGCGGCAGTGAAGAAGAACTACAACATGCTTAAGGACCTTCCTTTGACTGACCGGGAGCTGTCGATTCTGTCAGTAGCGGTCACCATGTTGCAGAAGAAGGGTGTTGACCCCTATGAGCAGACCCTGGTTATCCAAGTGGATCAGAACTTAGTTGTGGGAAGAATACTAGCTCTGAAAGGGAACAAAAAATCATTTATTTCACCCCAATGGTATTAACATCTCTGCTGAGGATCAGAACTTTGAGCAGAGCACCTATGTCCGGTCCAACTGCTCTTTGACCCCATGCATGATTCCACATGGAAAGTATTGTGTGTGACTGGCCCTGAGCGTTGGAATCTTCTTGGCGGGCAGGACAAAACTTCCCAAATCAAAACAAATTGTTGTTTAATAATAACCTTGAAAACATGTGACTCTCAAGGTATCTATCTAGCCACACACACACACGGCCCCAGGAGAAATTGCGGCTCCAAGGGCTTGGCGCTGAAGATGTGCTGAAGTACAAGCGCAACACCCTCGCTGTCGTGGCTGGTTTGGTGTGATCAGGGTTGGTTTTAGTTCAACATGTTCCACTCCATGGGGCCCCCCAAAGTTGAATTCGTTTTTATATAGGCCCATGATTTCCAATTTGAGGTTTACCAGTTCGGTTTGTGCAGCTGCTGTACCTTCGGTCTTGTCATGCTGGCACCCATCCGAGAGAACCCAAAATTCAGCATGAACAAGGACATCTACATGGCTTTAATTCGAGATGTATCTGTGGCAGGTAGCTACAGTTTTGGCTGCAAGCCCCAGTGGAAATGTTATTAACGATAGTTTCCAGTGTTTTTCTATGATGCTTCGAGCTGGGAGCTGCTTTTAGCCACAAAAATCTTTGAAAAAATCGATGACAGCGATTGCTAGGCTTTGCCATGAAAAAAAGAAACCAGGAATCAATTGCAAGTTGTTCGAAGTCGATATGTGGTTGGAATTTGTTAACATCACAATAGTAGCCTCTTCTTACTTGACCCCTTTCTGCCATTTTTCATTGATTGCCACCCGCTGCACTGGGAGCTGGAACAGTCTCCTGCACTCAAGCCTGGGCCGGGGCCGGGGTCTGTTGGGGTCATGTCACCCAAAAAAAAATCGGGGTAGCAATAGTGCTGCCAAAAACATAGCTTCGGGAGAGCAGAGCCAAGCTACTGCCCAAGATATGGATTCCGTATGTGGTCTCATGCGTGCTACCCAGAGATGTGTTGAGTCCATCTACTCCCTTCGACATGCCAAACAGGGAAATCTAGTTTCCGAAGCCTTGCCGGAGCTCCCCTTGGATGGAAATGAAGGGATGTATGTGTGGCCATTTTGCAAAGGGGTGACATTCAAAGAGATCGCTCAACGAGCTTGGGAATCCCCTGACCGGTTGATTGATGAGTCTTGGGGAATGGTATGCGCTACAGGGATTTTGGATGACTCTAGCACTCACTCCTGCAACCCTGAAGCACAAGTTCTGCGTTGTGCAGGATAGGTTTGTTTGCGGTGATATTCATTTATGGAAATCACATGTTCGGGGTGATGTTGCTTTAATACTTGTTTTAAAAACTCAGACATACTTATTATAAATTTGATTGGGTATAGTTGTTGCTGCAAACGTCCATCCCTTTCCAGGAGTGGCCTCCATCTCCAGGGGCGAAGTTCGACAGCAGCATTCTCATGTGGAGCTTTGCGGACGCAGCCTTTTGGCGGGGAAAGCATGTGTCCATGGCTGAGATCATTGGCCTTGCCAAATCCATTTCTGTGACCAGGTTTCGGGAGGCCATTTTGGAGATAAGGGGGACATTCTGGCTTAGTTGGATCGACCACAAAAACTTAGTGGGTTAGTGGGACCAACCACAAATTTTATGGGAAGGACTTTGGGAAATCCCACAAAGATTTTGGGGGTACTTGGGTCAATGAGTCTGTGGCTAGCCCAGTGCATCCCTTCAAAGTACATGGGGAATAGGAAACATAAATTATTGTTGAATGTTTCCCATCTAAAACTGATTAAATCCAATAATATTCAATTTATCTGTCTTATAAAACAAAATCATCCCTCGGCAAAAGTAAAATCCTCGGCGAAAACTCTAAGACCCTCAGCCCAAAGTTTGGCTGACTACCTCGGTGAGGTACTCGGCGAAACCTGGGTCACCATTTTTGGGGTATTTTGCTTATGATATCTGATGATATTCATTTTGAATGGGGCATCATTTGCATACCCATCATGGATATAGGGGGTTTGGCTGACTACCTCGGTGAGGTCCTCGGCGAAACTTTACTAGAGTAGTAAGGGCCTTTCTGGCAAGAAAAATCCTTTGGTGACTTTATATGGATTTCCTGGGCAAACCCTTAAGAAAATTTGGGGTTTGCAACTGATGATGGAATGGAGGGTTAGAGGATGAATTTTCCCCCCATCCAAATGGTTTCACAAAACCACTAGAGTCATCCCATTTTGGGCAGTCCAGCAGAACCCATATTATATGTTTTTATATGGTAGCACCTTAAGACAGTGAGACCCCATGCCAAATGAGAATTGGTACTCCATGGTTGCATGTCAGTTTGGTTATTTTATGAAGGTGCCCTTCTTAAAATGAAATAACTATTTCAAAACTGTAAGAAGGGCCCTCACTAAAATGCATGAAAGTAACACTTTTTTAGCAGGAAAATCCCAAAAAGAACTTGCAACCGTTGAGTCCTTCACCAAACTCTGGGTCTTCAACCGTGCTGCCAGGGTGAGCAGGTTTCCCTTCGCTTGCCAGCCACCTCCGAGCAAGTGGAGTCGGCGTGCGACGAGGACAATGGGGACTTTGCTATTCGCTGATGGGTCCCAAAAGTGCCTAGCGGCATTTACGGTGTGGATCGCTTTGTTGGTTACCTGGAAAGCCTACAAGAACATGATTCAAGATGGCCAGGTCGTCCAGCTTGTGAGTAGCATGTTGGTCCTCCCAACGACCTACAAAGCGACAGATGCTGTGTCCAGCGCGCTCCAAGCCACAATTGGGAAGATTGTGAAGCAAAATGCTGACAGCCGGGTCCAAGTGAGAGTGGGACTGGATCTTTGGCCCTTGACAATCGACGGACTGCAGCAGTCAAGAATTGGCTGGAGAAAACAGCTGTGACCGCATTCCAGGTCGTAGAGGCTTCGACACACGACTTACCATTTGCCTTGTGTGCCTTTGGAGAAACCATGGCCTCATATGGATTTCTCTTCTTGGGAAGTGTGGCAACTGGACTTCCTCCTGGTTCTACCTGCGACCTTTCCCCAATGGAGAACGAGGCTTTCATGCCAATCAATTGGCAGCTGCCAATGACGGATGAAGCTCAGACAATCCTTTTTCAAAGAATCCAGGCAACCTTTGACAGAGAGACTACCATGGTGCCAGCCCAGTCCAAAAAGAAATACCGACTGAGCCAAGAGAAACTGCAAGCCTTGCGGAACCTCACCTGCCTCTTCGCGCAGCTTTTCCCTCACATCAAGACCAGATTGCCCCCTCCAGAGTCTGAGAAGTGGCTCCAAGAGTTTTCATCAAGCTCCCAGAGGGATGAGGACATGAAGTTCATCTTGGAGTCTCAACCATCTTCGTTTGCCCTTTCTATGTTGCCTTCATCCCGTGCAGTTGCCCAAGAACAAGCCCAGCAAAGGGAACAATCTATTTGTCTGAGCGTGGAGAAGCAACGACTTGATGTCATTGATGCCCAGTGGATTTTTTCAAGTCAGGACTTCAACGTGACCAAGTGCTCCTACAAAAGATCAAGGATGTCCCCAAGAAGATTGCTACAAAACTGCACCAGAAACAGGTGAGGCAAATGGCAGAGCAGGCGAAAGCTGGGGAGGCCAGGGAAATCAAATGATGACCCAATCATATTGATTCAGCGTCCCTACGTTCATATCCTTACATGTACTTTTATGTATATATACATGTATGTATATCATTCATATATCACTTAAATCAGACAAAAACATATATAGCTTCTACTACAGAATGTCTTTGAACATAAAAAACACATGCGGCGTGGGGGCCCACAAAGGGTCTTACCAAGGGATAAAAAAAGAAACACCCCAGACAGCTGTCTCTGGCTATGCTGAGAAGTATGTGCGGGTTGTCCATGTGTCTCGCTCAGAGCTTTCCACATCGCAAGTCAGCGAGATGAGAGATGCAGTTGCAACTGATCTGCATTAATTTAGTTGAGACAATCCCCATCAAATAGTGTAAGGGCAAGGGATTTCTGACATGAACATAGCTTCTACTTTTCTTTCTTGAAATGGGTTGAAACTTGGAAACAGCGTCCTAGATCCCAGAAATTTGAAAGGGGTCGAACCTGACGTCACCACCTTAACAGTAGTGCACCATTGATTGACTTCTTTGGGGTCAAGCTAGCTACAGCTCTCCGACCACCAGAGAGCCCCAGTGCTTGCCTTCGGAAAGAGTTTGGCGATGCTCTCAAAGCAGCTCGGCCGCAGCGATGTCCTTCGCACCGGCCATGCGGATACCAAAACAAGGTGGAAATGGCAGGATTATATTCCAGTCAAAGCACCCCTAGGTAGTTTATTATTTTTGTCAACCTTAGTTGCATTCCCTGTAACACTTGTAAACCCCATCCCCGCAGGACCCTTTGTACTCAGATATATACATGTATATTCTATAGATAATTATATATAGATATATCACGTATAAACAAATATAGATAGATAGATAGATAGATAGATAGATCGATAGATCGATAGATCGATAGATCGATAGATCGATAGATCGATAGATAGATAGATAGATCGATAGATAGATAGATAGGTAGATAGGTAGATAGGTAGATAGGTAGATAGGTAGATAGGTAGATAGATAGATAGATAGATAGATAGATAGATACACACATATATATATATATTATCTAATTATATTTAAAGATTATATACAGTAGATGTAACAGAACAGAGTTATCTAAAAACATAAGATATGCACACATACAAGGGGCTCTATGGCTATATTTTGTGGTTGGGACTTATAGAACGATCATCATTGACAGTAGATTGTGTGTACCACTAAATAAACATTAGGTGATGGGATTCCAGGTGCAAGATCTTTCACCCCATCCATTCTTTTAATATAAAGATGGCCCCCAAAAAATAATTCCATTTCTGTTCTTTTGAGGTATCCCCCTGTGAAAGTGACCACCTTGAAATCGGACCAGAAGTTTGGGAAGAAAAAGACACACAAGCGCCACATCTTTCTGACTGGTAACCTTGAAGCCTCTCCTGAACAACAAGGCCTTCCATTGGACATTGACCTGTTGAGCCCGATTGACCCTAGTCTTGATGAAACTCATGGTGAATCTACTTGATCAACGAGTCGACAATGTGATTTAGATGGACCAGTACAACATGTGGAAAGTCCCAAGTTGGTGGATGCAGAAGTGCCACCACTGGTGCCACAGGTTTACTTTCAGGATGCCCAATCTCCCATTGACGAGTGCTTCTTTCAGGATGCCCAATCTCCCAGTGACGAGTGCTTCTTTCCGGATACAATTCCTGATGTCCCTGTCCCTGAGAACTTAGACCAGCATAGGACCAGTAGCAAAGGTGTGGAGGGTCTGGACAAAAACATGAACAGCCCAACGCCAGCTTCTTTGGGGATTCAGTCACTGACTATCCCTGAAAGTTGGGAAAAGCAGGTGGTTTCAACGAAAGTTTCTGGGGTTGATTCGGCACCAGACACTGTTTACGACCATGATTCTGACACAGAATCAGTGGGTTCATGTGTAACATATACACATGAGTTGACTCAGCAATCCAACAGCACCCATGAGCATTTGACCTTGCTCGGGGGTGTTTCTGCCAATTATAGTCGTAGCCTACGACCTGTCTTGTGTAGATTGAAGGTCTTCGAGCTCAATTAATTTCCCACCAGCGCAGCCTGACTTGAGGGAAAAGTTTGCATTTGTAGCCAAGAGTGTCAATCAAACTAGTGAGAACATTAAAATACTGGGGGTGAATCAGGGTGCCCACCCATGTTTTGCCAGCCAAGGCAAAAAATTGTGGATGCACCGGGGATGACATTACCTTCGTCAGCTTGGTTGACTTCAACGCACCGGGCTGTCGCTCCAGTGGCAATGTTGAGGCCTTGTGTGAGCGGGTGGCGATGGTCAACAACTTGGCACCCGAGCGCAATTGTGCACTTTGCATCCTTCCTGATGTGCCACGAGATTCGAGTCTTCGCGATCTGTACGGTCGACGAAGAGAAGAACATACAAGAGAGCCCCGGGATCCCACTAAACCTTTTTTTTAGACGAAATTTAGCGATGTTTTTTTTTCCAGGGGGGTGGGACTTTCATTTTATAGTGATCCCAGGGGGGCAGGAGGATTTTGATTTTATAATATTAAATTTCTTTTTATAGCGATTCCCCTTTTGGCATGACACTCATGTATGGGGGTTGGGTGTTCCCATTCTATAGAGTCAGGAGGTTTCAGGAAATCATTCCTTTCGGGGGTTGGTAGCCTCCATTTTATAGTGATCATGGGTTGTAGTTGCATTGCTCAGTCTTCGCGTGCCGTTTCCTGCTTAGCATGGATGGCAATGGGAACCTGGGGGAGTGTTCCCAAACCAGAGAAACGTAAGAATGGAAGAGAATGGAATAGAGTGGACAGACAAAGCCAGCTTTCTCCATCCTACCCCAAAATACCCAGCTGGCCCAAAGTACCCAGCTTTGTCGATACCCCTAAATTCCCAGCTTGGAGAAATCCTTTGGCTTTGGGACATGGGACAGCATGGGACCACTATAAAATGGAAAACTTTCTCCATCCTACCCTAGAAAATCATACCAGGAAGGGCATGTAATCTCTATAAAATCAGAGCACCCAACCCCTCAAGAAACCATTCATTTTTGGATGTTGTAAAATTAAAGCTATATACAGGGGGTTGGGGGTTCCCATTCTATAGTAAAAAGTTGGCTAGTTCCTTCATTTTAAGGCTAGGCTCCAGGGTACGTTGGGGCCTCCCATTTTATAGTGATGGAGGGTTTTGCAGTAAATTTGTAGCTGTAAATATTTGCTTTTTCAAATGAATTTCTTATTATAATAGAGGTGCACCTGTTTTGTGACCCTGGGTGTTTCCATTTTATAGAGGTCCCACTCCGGGGGGGGATGGGTGCCCCCGTTTTAGTACTATAAAATGGGGCACCCAACCCCCCCACTTAATCTAGTAGGGGATCAAGAGAGCTTCTTCAGTTTGAGAATGCATTGCGACACCAGATTCATTGAGCTGTTTCCGGGCTCGTGCTTTTTCAAAACAAGTTTTATTTTGTCGTCAGCTGGAGAGAAACCTTTTTTATAAGGTTCTATTGTGCTAAGTCTGGTTGATAGTGGGGTTGGGTGGAACAACTGCCTAGGTTTGACCGGGACAAGAAAAGCCTGAGCAAGTCGAACTCCAGAAGGTTTGGTCAGGGGAGAATAGTGGTGGCCCATGAGAAGTTTGAGACGAACCCTTGGCTCACTGTTTCTGACCTTGCTGTGGCAGGCAGACCTGTCCAACAGAACGAATCTGAGCAAGGCGCACCAACTGTGAAGCTTCCTAGAGGCCAAGAATTCCTTCTACCAGAGTGTGGCAGCCCGGATGCTGATTTGAGAAGCGCATCAAGCCGAGCCCAGAACAGTCGGCAGCGCAGAAGGGAATTCAAAGGGCTGAGATTCTTTTGATGAGCCTGTTCAAGAACATGAAGCTCAAAGGCCCGGCAATCCTGCTGAACTGGACAGGATACATCGAGGAATCTGCGACAGCAGCCACTTGGCTGAGATTTTGATTTTGAAAGATGTTCCAAGTTCCAAGTTTTCAATGCTAGATTTTGTTGTTAAGACTGAAAATTCCAGTGTGCCTCCAATTCACTTTTGTGAATAAAAACCTTAGGTGTTCAACCTCTGCCAGAAGGGTATCATCAACGAATTTGACTTCCAGTCTGTGTACTACTTGAGCATCCATTTTCTGGATTCACATGAGAACGCCATGTACGGAAAGAACAGGATTCTGCGGGATCTCCTCGATGCTTGGTGTGAGAAGCGCATGACCTATGCCGGTGTCAAGTACAATGACTCTGACTTCAAGTTGTCAGAGCAAGAGCTGTCTGCGATCCCAGGTGCTGAATGCATCAAAAGTGTTGATGCTTTGAAGTTGGAAGTCACAGTTCGAACCGGGTCTGCTGTGGAAATCCACCCAGATCAGGCCAAGCAGTGGAGAGCCCAAGGAGGCAACTACACCGCTGAGTTTGAAAAGCTTGTGGCCCACCATGACCAGCACTACAAGAATATGCTCTCAGGTGTGATCCAAACTGGAGGGGATGGGGGTGGTGCAGAAGCAACATCCACTGACAAGCAGGTTATCCCTGTCACCGATGAGGCAGATTCGTCCCAGACAGCCGCAGCAGCAGCAGCGCCCGTCCAAGAGTTTGAGAGCATGGACTCCCTGAAAGCTACGGATGAGTTGAATTCAAAGCTGTTTCAGAGATTGCAGATGTTGAGTTGTGGCGTGGCAAGAGCAACAGCACCTACCTTGTTGCCACCAAGAGAAATCGTGACCTCCCTGCAAACACCCTGATTGCTGGCTTCGGCACCGGAAAGTTCTAGACTAAGCCTTGAAACTTTTTTGGAGCTCAAAGTTGCATTTTTTGTTTTTTTTTTATGATGTTTCCACCAGGTTTTTTTTACAAGTCCACCACATGTTCTTCAAAGATTCAACTTAGTCCCAGGTATATTCCCGTGTCTTATGCTGAAGAAGGGCTACCTGTGGAGTGGGAAAAAGGTGACAAGACCTTGATCCAAGTCGATTATTCCAGCATTTCTCCGGAGAATGGGAACACCAAAGTGATGACCATATACCGCTACCTTGTGCTGCTGGAGCGCCAGAAAAAGATCACCCAATATACCATCTCGTATGCTGAAATTTCCCGTCAGGCCAGCGCAGACACTGATGGATTCTCAGTCAAGGTCAGCAATGGCCACACGTTCAAGGTGCTCAACAACAGTTCCAAGCCAGCAACTTGCAAGACATGGTTTGGGGATTGCCTCACGGAAGTTGCGGCCAGCAGCACTGTTCAAAAGGTATTCAGGTTCAGGTATGACCGGGTCAATGCTTGCTCAAAGATCCAGAAGCCTTACTGCATCTTGCAGCATCCTTTGTCGCTGAAAGTGGGTCGCCCTGTTAAGGCCTATTTCTGGTCAAATAAATTTGATTTTAAAGTTTCACTCATTTCATCATCATAATCAGCACCTCCAAAGAGACCCCAGCCTGTTCCAACCTAACCAAGATTTTCATTTGTTCCCTGCAGGTTTGCTGAGCTGGGATTGATAGTTCCACTGAGACGGGCACGGTTTGAGCTCTTTTGGGGCCACTTTTTGGAAGCCAGCCGCTTAGTTAACTCTCTTGGGAGTTTGCCAGGATAAGCTGGCTTGTGAGCTAAGCTGACACAAACGATTCGCAGAGAAATCTGTTTTTGCAGCAGCTTCAAGAAACCATGGAGAAAACACATGGCAGGCATGAATCATGGTGCATTGGGGGGCATCTTATCAACTTCTCATGCATCAGCTTGCTATAGCTTTTTGGGGTTCAAAAGCTTGTAGTGGTAACCTTACCTTGCAGTTTTTTTTCCGATGAGTGACCTGATGAAACATTGAGCACGCAGGAGGTGCGTAAACCGATTTCGCCACTTCACGCCACTTCACGCCACTTGAAGTGGCATGAAGTGGCATGCTCACTGTTTGTGCGCCACTTGAAGTGGCATGAAGTGGCATGCTCACTGTGCGTGCGCCACTTGAAGTGGCATACGGCATACGCCACTTGAAGTGGCATACGCCACTTGAAGTGGCATGAAGTGGCATGAAGTGGCATGCACTGTGCGTGCGCCACTTGAAGTGGCATGAAGTGGCATGAAGTGGCATGCTCACTGTGCGTGCGCCACTCGAAGTGGCATGCGCCACTTGAAGTGGCATGAAGTGGCATGCTCCAGGTGCGACACGCCACTCGAAGTGGCATACGCCACTCGAAGTGGCACGCCACTTGAAGTGGCATGCGCCACTTGAAGTGGCATGAAGTGGCATGCGCACGGTGGGACATTACGACTACGAGTGCTGTTACGACGACGCGTACTACTACTACTACTACTGCTACTACTGCTACTACTGCTACTACTGCTGCTACTGCTACTGCTACTGCTACTGCTACTGCTACTACTCCTACTACTACTACTACTACTACTACTAGTACTACTACTACTACTACTACTAGTACTACTACTACTACTACTAGTAGTACTACTACTACTACTACTCTACTTCTACTACTACTACTACTGCTACTACTACTACTACTACTACTACTACTACTACTACTACTACTACTACTACTACTACTACTACTACTACTACTACTACTACTTACTACTACTACTACTACTTACTACTACTTACTACTACTTACTACTACTTATATACTACTATATACTACTATATACTACTATATACTACTATATACTACTATATACTACTATATACTACTATATACTACTATATACTACTATATACTACTATATACTACTATATACTACTATATACTACTATATACTACTATATACTACTATATACTACTATATACTACTATATACTGCTATATACTACTATATACTGCTATATACTGCTATATACTGCTATATACTGCTATATACTGCTATATACTGCTACTACTGCTACTACTGCTACTACTGCTACTACTCCTACTACCGCTACTACTACTACTACTCCTCCTCCTACGGCTACGGCTACGGCTATGGCTACGACTACTTCTACTACTGCTGCTAGTATACTACTTCATTAGACTGCTTTAGGGGCGAGGGGCAAAGTGGCGAGAATGGATTTCCCAAACTTCCTAGATTCTCCTGGAAATTCCTGATTTTTTCCTTGAATCCAAGGGTTTTAGCTCTACGTTTACAAGTGCGCCATCTCATGTACTTATTGCTCTGCCGGTTTGGCTGTTTTCAGGCTACGGGTAAGATGAATGAAACATAATGAAACAGAAGCAGCTCTGAAAGTGCCTCATGCCAAGGCGCAGATGCCAGGAGTCAAAAATACAGATGTATGTACGTTGTAACATCCATGTCAATCAACTTCCAAGAAGCTCTGGAAGCTACGTTGTAACATCCACTAGAAGTCACTTGCAAGATGCGCTGGGTGCTACGTTGGACCATCCACTTGAAGTCACTTCCAGGACGCTCTGGATGTATTTTGTAACATCCATTTCAATCAACTTCCATGAAGCTCTGGAAGCTACGTTGTAAAATGCACGTGAAGGAACTTCCAAGAGGCTTTGGATGCTACGTTACAATATCCCTTTCAATCAACTACCAACGCCCTAGATGCTACGTTATAACACACATTTCAGATTCAAGTAACTCCCACAAGGCCGTGGCTACTACGTTGTAACGTCCATTTCAATCAACTCCAAGACGCTCTGGATGCTACGCTGTAACATTTATTCGAAGGAGTTCAAAAGGCTTTCGATGATACGCTGCAACATCTTTTTCAAGCAACATCCAAGACGCTCTAGATGCTAAATTTTAACACTCGTTTCAAGCAACTCCCACAAGGCGGTGGATGCTACGTTGCAACATCCACTTGAAGTCACTTCCAGGACGCTCTGGATGTATGTTGTAACATCAATTTCAATCAACTTCCTTGAAGCTCTGGATGCTATGTTGTGACATGCACTTGAAGTCACTTGCAGGAGACTTTGGATGCTACGTTGCAACATCCCTTTTTAGTCAACCCAATAGACGCCTTAGATGCTACGGTATAACATACATTTCAATACATTTCAAGTAACTTCCAAAAGGCCGCGACTACTGCGTTGTAACGTCCGTTTCAAGCAACTCCAAGACGCTCTGGATGCTACGCTGCAACATTTATTCGAAGACAGTACAAAAGGCTTTCGATGATACGTCGCAACATCCCTTTCAATCAACATCCAAGACGCTCTAGATGCTACGTTAGAACACTCGTTTCAAGTAACTCCCACAAGGCGGTGGATGCTACGTTGTAACATTGTAACATCCACTTGAAGTCACTTCCAAGACGCTCTGGATGCTATGTTGTAACATCCTTTTCAATCAACTTCCAAGAAGCTCTGGAAGTTACGTTGTCAAATCCACGTGACTCCTTTGTACTACAAAGCTTGCACAAAGTACTTACCAGTACTACTGTGCGCTACAAAGCTTGCACAAACCACTTCCCAGTACTACTTTGTAATACAAAGCTTGCAAAAAACACTCCCCAGTACTACTTTGTATTACAACGCTTACACAAAACACGTTCCAGTACTACTTTGTACTACAAAGCTTACACAAAACACGTTCCAGTACTACTTTGTACTACAAAGCTTGCAAAAAACTACTTCCCAGTACTACTTTGTACTACAAAGCTTGCACAAGGCACTCCGCAGTACTACTTTGTACTACAAAGCTTGCACAAAGCACTCCCCAGTACTACTTTGTACTACAATAGTTGCACAAAACAACTCCCAGTACTACTTTGTACTATAAAGCTTGCACAAGGCACTCCGCAGTACTACTTTGTACTACAAAGCTTGCACAAAGCACTCCCCAGTACTACTTTGTACTACAATAGTTGCACAAAACAACTCCCAGTACTACTTTGTACTGCAAAGCTTGCACAAACTACTTCCCAGTACTACTTTGTACTACAATAGTTGCACAAAACAATTCCCAGTACTACTTCGTACTACAAAGCTTGCACAAAGCACTCCGCAGTACTACTTTGTAGTACAAAGCTTGCGCAAAGCACTCCCCAGTACTACTTTGTACTACAATAATTGCACAAAACAACTCCCAGTACTACTTTGTACTACAAAGCTTGCACAAACTACTTCCCAGTACTACTTTGTACTACAAAGCTTGCACAAAACACTTCCCAGTACTACTTTGTACTACAAAGCTTGCGCAAGGCACTCCGCAGTACTACTTCGTACTACAAAGCTTGCACTTTAAGGGGCATACGCCACTCGGAACGCGAAGGCTACACAGTCAGCACGCCACTTGAAGTGGCATACGCCACTTGAAGTGGCATACGGCATACGCCACTTGAAGTGGCATATGCCACTTGAAGTGGCATACAGCATACGCGACTTGAAGTGGCATACGCCACTTGAAGTGGCATACGGCATACGCCACTTGAAGTGGCATGAAGTGGCATGAAGTGGCAAAATCAAAATCCACCACATTTGCTTGTTCTCTGTTGATGTCTATAATGAGATGCAATGTGATGTGATGCAATGCAATGCAATGTGATGTGGCGTAATGAAATGCAATGTGATGTAATGCAATGTCATTTGATGTCTATAATGAGATGCAATGTGATGTGATGCAATGCAATGCAATGCAATGCAATGTGATGCGTAATGAAATGCAATGTGATGTAATGCAATGTCATTTGATGTCTATAATGAGATGCAATGTGATGTGATGCAATGCAATGCATTGCAATGCAATGTGATGTGGCGTAATGAAATGCAATGTGATGTAATGCAATGTCATTTGATGTCTATAATGAGATGCAATGTAATGTGATGCAATGCAATGCAATGCAATGCAATGTGATGTGGCGTAATGAAATGCAATGTGATGTAATGCAATGTCATTTGATGTCTATAATGAGATGCAATGTGATGCAATGCAATGCAATGTGATGTGGCATAATGAAATGCAATGTGATGTAATGCAATGTCATTTGATGTCTATAATGAGATGCAATGTGATGTGATGCAATGCAATGCAATGTGATGTGGCATATTGAAATGCAATGTGATGTAATGCAATGTCATTTGATGTCTATAATGAGATGCTGTGATGCAATGCAATGCAATGTGATGTGGCATAATGAAATGCAATGTGATGTAATGCAATGTCATTTGATGTCTATATGAGATGCAATGTGATGCAATGCAATGCAATGTGATGTGGCGTAATGAAATGCAATGTGATGTAATGCAATGTCATTTGATGTCTATAATGAGATGCAATGTGATGTGATGCAATGCAATGCAATGTGATGTGGCATAATGAAATGCAATGTGATGTAATGCAATGTCATTTGATGTCTATATAGAGATGCAATGTGATGTGATGCAATGCAATGCAATGTGATGTGGCATAATGAAATGCAATGTGATGTATGCAATGTCATTTGATGTCTATAATGAGATGCAATGTGATGTGATGCAATGCAATGCAATGTGATGTGGCATATTGAAATGCAATGTGATGTAATGCAATGTCATTTGATGTCTATAATGAGATGCAATGTGATGTGATGCAATGCAATGCAATGTGATGTGGCGTAATGAAATGCAATGTGATGTAATGCAATGTCATTTGATGTCTATAATGAGATGCAATGTGATGTGATGCAATGCAATGCAATGTGATGTGGCGTAATGAAATGCAATGTGATGTAATGCAATGTCATTTGATGTCTATAATGAGATGCAATGTGATGTGATGCAATGCAATGCAATGTGATGTGGCGTAATGAAATGCAATGTGATGTAATGCAATGTCATTTGATGTCTATAATGAGATGCAATGTGATGTGATGCAATGCAATGCAATGTGATGTGGCGTAATGAAATGCAATGTGATGTAATGCAATGTCATTTGATGTCTATAATGAGATGCAATGTGATGTGATGCAATGCAATGCAATGTGATGTGGCGTAATGAAATGCAATGTGATGTAATGCAATGTCATTTGATGTCTATAATGAGATGCAATGTGATGCAATGCAATGCAATGTGATGTGGCATAATGAAATGCAATGTGATGTAATGCAATGTCATTTGATGTCTATAATGAGATGCAATGTGATGCAATGCAATGCAATGTGATGTGGCGTAATGAAATGCAATGTGATGTAATGCAATGTCATTTGATGTCTATAATGAGATGCAATGTGATGTGATGCAATGCAATGCAATGTGATGTGGCATAATGAAATGCAATGTGATGTAATGCAATGTCATTTGATGTCTATAATGAGATGCAATGTGATGTGATGCAACGCAATGCAATGTGATGTGGCATAATGAAATGCAATGTGATGTAATGCAATGTCATTTGATGTCTATATAGAGATGCAATGTGATGTGATGCAATGCAATGCAATGTGATGTGGCATAATGAAATGCAATGTGATGTATGCAATGTCATTTGATGTCTATAATGAGATGCAATGTGATGTGATGCAATGCAATGCAATGTGATGTGGCATATTGAAATGCAATGTGATGTAATGCAATGTCATTTGATGTCTATAATGAGATGCAATGTGATGTGATGCAATGCAATGCAATGTGATGTGGCGTAATGAAATGCAATGTGATGTAATGCAATGTCATTTGATGTCTATAATGAGATGCAATGTGATGTGATGCAATGCAATGCAATGTGATGTGGCGTAATGAAATGCAATGTGATGTAATGCAATGCAATGTACAAAATATACACATGGAATGGTACAAGTGACACAGACCAGCTATCCGGGAGCCACGGAGCGTGCTGGCCAGGGCGAGAGTGCACCAGTGTGTGGCTGGCGATCTTTGTGCCGTCAATTTGTGGCACCGTCCATCTACACTCATTTCAAATCCTTTGGCGAAGCACAGAAAAACGGATCAGTGAATCAGAAACTATTCCTCCAAGCTTGTGCGTCCAATGGTCACATTTCCTCGATTTCATTTTTTTTTTGCCGATGCAAAAATTGTGTCCTTGGGCTTCTGCTCATGTCAATGATTTGAGGGTTTCTGCGATGAGCATTCAGCATTCTGGCTCAGGCTCACTTCGTACTTCGTCTTTAGGATAGCAATCACTTCTTTGCAATGGCAGCAGTTGAAGCAGTGTGCTCCCGATGCCAGGGTAAGGGACATCGTGCTGCTGATTGTCACCTACCCTTCTTCCGCAGCTGTGAGTACTGCAAGACTGCGGGTCACACTGCCAAGGAGTGTCCGCTCTTGCGACACTGTACTTACTGCAAATGCGAGGGTCATACCAATCGCAACTGTGCCAAGCTACTGGCGAAAAGAGCCAAGGCACGAGCGTCAGATGATTCAAAGAGTGAGACGTCTGAGGCCAGCAATGGTCAGTCTGGTGTGAGCACAGCTTCAACATGGGCATCATCACCTCCCAAGAAACAGCAGTGGAAGCGCTGGACTGAACCACAGAAGCCTCGGATGCAAGCCTTGACTGAAGATGAAGAAAAACAGGCACGCAAGGTCGAGAAGAAGCTGCGCGAGATTGCAGCTCTGGAAACTCGGCTTGCTGAAGGGGAAACTTTGGAGGACTTGCAGCAGAAGAAGGTTGACAAGAAGTCAGAGTTTGAGGACTGTGAGGTCATGCGCAAGTTGCGCTCTGGCTATAGACGATGTGAGCTACCAGCCAAAAGCCTGATTGAGGCAAAGTAACGCCCAGGTGTGTCCAGGCGTGTCAGATATGAGCTACGAAACGTAGATGCATAATGATGCATAGTGTATAGATATCTATTTATAGATGTTTATAGTTGCTTTCACCCGAGGCCCTTGCAGCATCCTTTGTGCAGTGTACAGATGCAGTCTGGAGTTAGCTAGCTCATGACTTGCCTTGATCACTTTGCATTCAGTAGATCTTCCCACTTTGCAAGTTGAGTCTGGACTTGTGTACAGCAAACAAGAGTGGAACACGACTAGGAGAAGAGACATTTAGAATCATTTAAATTCTTTGGATTTGCTTTTGTATGGAACAAAAGGAAACGCGTGCACAAGTCTGAAACGGACCCATGACGACTCATGCAGTTGCAACTTCACGTGAGGAACCGATTCAGTTTCAAACCAGTTGAACCCTGCGTAGCTGCCTGTCACTAGGAGAAATTGCAGTGAGCATTTGGACTGGTGTTGGCAAATTGGAAAGCATATCAACTTGCCAATGAATCACTAAAAACTGTGCAGTGCCGTGAAGTAAGTTGCCACAGCTGGTGATTTCTCAACTTTCCACAGGTCTGTTTTATTTTAGTGGTGACCGATTCTTGAGTACGCATGATCACTCCATCACATGTCAATGATTTGAGTGTTTCTGCGATGAGCATTCAGCATTCTGGCTCAGGCTCACTTCGTACTTCGTCTTTAGGATAGCAATCACTTCTTTGCAATGGCAGCAGTTGAAGCAGTGTGCTCCCGATGCCAGGGTAAGGGACATCGTGCTGCTGATTGTCACCTACCCTTCTTCCGCAGCTGTGAGTACTGCAAGACTGCGGGTCACACTGCCAAGGAGTGTCCGCTCTTGCGACACTGTACTTACTGCAAATGCGAAGGTCATACCAATCGCAACTGTGCCAAGCTACTGGCGAAAAGAGCCAAGGCACGAGCGTCAGATGATTCAAAGAGTGAGACGTCTGAGGCCAGCAATGGTCAGTCTGGTGTGAGCACAGCTTCAACATGGGCATCATCACCTCCCAAGAAACAGCAGTGGAAGCGCTGGACTGAACCACAGAAGCCTCGGATGCAAGCCTTGACTGAAGATGAAGAAAAACAGGCACGCAAGGTCGAGAAGAAGCTGCGCGAGATTACAGCTCTGGAAGCTCGGCTTGCTGAAGGGGAAACTTTGGAGGACTTGCAGCAGAAGAAGGTTGACAAGAAGTCAGAGTTTGAGGACTGTGAGGTCATGCGCAAGTTGCGCTCTGGCTATAGACGATGTGAGCTACCAGCCAAAAGCCTGATTGAGGCAAAGTAACGCCCAGGTGTGTCCAGGCGTGTCAGATATGAGCTACGAAACGTAGATGCATAATGATGCATAGTGTATAGATATCTATTTATAGATGTTTATAGTTGCTTTCACCCGAGGCCCTTGCAGCATCCTTTGTGCAGTGTACAGATGCAGTCTGTAGTTAGCTAGCTCATGACTTGCCTTGATCACTTTGCATTCAGTAGATCTTTCCACTTTGCAAGTTGAGTCTGGACTTGTGTACAGCAAACAAGAGTGGAACACGACTAGGAGAAGAGACATTTAGAATCATTTAGATTCTTTGGATTTGCTTTTGTATGGAACAAAAGGAAACGCGTGCACAAGTCTGAAACGGACCCATGACGACTCATGCAGTTGCAACTTCACCTGAGGAACCGATTCAGTTTCAAACCAGTTGAACCCTGCGTAGCTGCCTGTCACTAGGAGAAATTGCAGTGAGCATTTGGACTGGTGTTGGCAAATTGGAAAGCATATCAACTTGCCAATGAATCACTAAAAACTGTGCAGTGCCGTGAAGTAAGTTGCCACAGCTGGTGGTTTCTCAACTTTCCACAGGTCTGTTTTATTTTAGTGGTGACCGATTCTTGAGTACGCATGATCACTCCATCACATGTCAATGATTTGAGTGTTTCTGCGATGAGCATTCAGCATTCTGGCTCAGGCTCACTTCGTACTTCGTCTTTAGGATAGCAATCACTTCTTTGCAATGGCAGCAGTTGAAGCAGTGTGCTCCCGATGCCAGGGTAAGGGACATCGTGCTGCTGATTGTCACCTACCCTTCTTCCGCAGCTGTGAGTACTGCAAGACTGCGGGTCACACTGCCAAGGAGTGTCCGCTCTTGCGACACTGTACTTACTGCAAATGCGAGGGTCATACCAATCGCAACTGTGCCAAGCTACTGGCGAAAAGAGCCAAGGCACGAGCGTCAGATGATTCAAAGAGTGAGACGTCTGAGGCCAGCAATGGTCAGTCTGGTGTGAGCACAGCTTCAACATGGGCATCATCACCTCCCAAGAAACAGCAGTGGAAGCGCTGGACTGAACCACAGAAGCCTCGGATGCAAGCCTTGACTGAAGATGAAGAAAAACAGGCACGCAAGGTCGAGAAGAAGCTGCGCGAGATTGCAGCTTTGGAAGCTCGGCTTGCTGAAGGTGAAACTTTGGAGGACTTGCAGCAGAAGAAGGTTGACAAGAAGTCAGAGTTTGAGGACTGTGAGGTCATGCGCAAGTTGCGCTCTGGCTATAGACGATGTGAGCTACCAGCCAAAAGCCTGATTGAGGCAAAGTAACGCCCAGGTGTGTCCAGGCGTGTCAGATATGAGCTACGAAACGTAGATGCATAATGATGCATAGTGTATAGATATCTATTTATAGATGTTTATAGTTGCTTTCACCCGAGGCCCTTGCAGCATCCTTTGTGCAGTGTACAGATGCAGTCTGGAGTTAGCTAGCTCATGACTTGCCTTGATCACTTTGCATTCAGTAGATCTTCCCACTTTGCAAGTTGAGTCTGGACTTGTGTACAGCAAACAAGAGTGGAACACGACTAGGAGAAGAGACATTTAGAATCATTTAAATTCTTTGGATTTGCTTTTGTATGGAACAAAAGGAAACGCGTGCACAAGTCTGAAACGGACCCATGACGACTCATGCAGTTGCAACTTCACGTGAGGAACCGATTCAGTTTCAAACCAGTTGAACCCTGCGTAGCTGCCTGTCACTAGGAGAAATTGCAGTGAGCATTTGGACTGGTGTTGGCAAATTGGAAAGCATATCAACTTGCCAATGAATCACTAAAAACTGTGCAGTGCCGTGAAGTAAGTTGCCACAGCTGGTGATTTCTCAACTTTCCACAGGTCTGTTTTATTTTAGTGGTGACCGATTCTTGAGTACGCATGATCACTCCATCACATGTCAATGATTTGAGTGTTTCTGCGATGAGCATTCAGCATTCTGGCTCAGGCTCACTTCGTACTTCGTCTTTAGGATAGCAATCACTTCTTTGCAATGGCAGCAGTTGAAGCAGTGTGCTCCCGATGCCAGGGTAAGGGACATCGTGCTGCTGATTGTCACCTACCCTTCTTCCGCAGCTGTGAGTACTGCAAGACTGCGGGTCACACTGCCAAGGAGTGTCCGCTCTTGCGACATTGTACTTACTGCAAATGCGAGGGTCATACCAATCGCAACTGTGCCAAGCTACTGGCGAAAAGAGCCAAGGCACGAGCGTCAGATGATTCAAAGAGTGAGACGTCTGAGGCCAGCAATGGTCAGTCTGGTGTGAGCACAGCTTCAACATGGGCATCATCACCTCCCAAGAAACAGCAGTGGAAGCGCTGGACTGAACCACAGAAGCCTCGGATGCAAGCCTTGACTGAAGATGAAGAAAAACAGGCACGCAAGGTCGAGAAGAAGCTGCGCGAGATTGCAGCTTTGGAAGCTCGGCTTGCTGAAGGGGAAACTTTGGAGGACTTGCAGCAGAAGAAGGTTGACAAGAAGTCAGAGTTTGAGGACTGTGAGGTCATGCGCAAGTTGCGCTCTGGCTATAGACGATGTGAGCTACCAGCCAAAAGCCTGATTGAGGCAAAGTAACGCCCAGGTGTGTCTTGGCGTGTCAGATATGAGCTACGAAACGTAGATGCATAATGATGCATAGTGTATAGATATCTATTTATAGATGTTTATAGTTGCTTTCACCCGAGGCCCTTGCAGCATCCTTTGTGCAGTGTACAGATGCAGTCTGTAGTTAGCTAGCTCATGACTTGCCTTGATCACTTTGCATTCAGTAAATCTTTCCACTTTGCAAGTTGAGTCTGGACTTGTGTACAGCAAACAAGAGTGGAACACGACTAGGAGAAGAGACATTTAGAATCATTTAGATTCTTTGGATTTGCTGTCAAGGAGAGAAAGCAGGATATGCAGATTTTCTAGGATTTTCTAGTTTTGGGCCCTTGTCTCTACAAAATTCGTACCTGGAAGCGATGGTATTGGGACGATGTCCGAGTTCTTGCAGCCAGGATCCCAAGGGAGATTAACCACCAGCCAGACACGTGCCCGGGGTAAACTCGGATTCCATACGATGTGTTTCCAAAGGGCATTGGATTACTCGAACACACTGAAACTTGATAATGGATATATGATAATGGGATGCATTGGCATGTGTAAGCATGTGTGTAATCATGTGTGTTAGGCATTGTTCCGGCAATGTTTAGATCCTGCAGTGACAGTGTGCAGTCCCAGGTACGTTCCAGGGGCTCAAGTCTACGACCAGTGGGGACACCTCAGCCCAGAATGCCACATTGGGGGGAACCCCAAGTCATCTGCTGACTCTCAAAATGGTTTTAAGATGTTTTAAGATGTTTTAAGTATAGCAGGGATGGAGTGGCAAACAGTCCAGATTGACAATCATCACATATGCCATAATAATTATAATGATAAATAATTAATGACTAGACTATAAATAAATAAATCTTGATAAATAGTGAAGTAGACAAATAAGTAAATACGTAAATAAAGAAATAGATTAATAATAGCAAATATACTTATTTACGATCTATACTTAAACATGATTGATAAACAAATACTACACATATATATGTATATTTATACGTGCACTCATGCTACCCAAAGGCATTAGATATGAAGAAGCTAAGATTCGTGGCCGACAAGTCTTGCACAAAATCACTGCAGGCGTCGGCAGTGGGTGCAGACAGTCGCGCAGACATCGCATCCGTCAGGGGAACCCAGACAACTGCAGTCGCAAATATGGGTATGGCCATTTTTAGGGGGATGAACATCCATTTACCAGCTATTTTGATGTTCACCAGGGGTACAAGGTTTTGACACAATAGCAATTCTAATGTGGAACATGGTGATAATCCATTGGAATATGAGATACACTATTTTAACAGACAACCCCGATTATCAATATCCATGTCTTCAAAAGAACCACTGGGCGATTGATGATTTGAATCTGTTTGAATAAGGCCATCTCCAATGGCCCAAAGGAAACACCATGGGAAACCCATCAAGAACATTAATCAGCACTTCCACCCGTCCAGAAAGAAGGACCTTCACATTGAATTTGAGAGCCGGGCACCCCTGAGCCTCTGAGACATCCTGGCGCCTAGGCAGCTGCCAGTTGCAGCTGCAGTGAGGACAAGCAGTGGCGCACCTTGGCATATGTTGCCCTCCTGTGTCTTCTGACTGCCACAGGCCCAAATCATCAAAGATGATCAAAGATTGTTTCCAATTCATGTTTGGCAGAGGAGATACTTGACGAGTCTTGAGGGTCTGTGAGCTGCTTTCAGTGTACACATTTTCATGCCAATACTTTGAGGAACCGTAGAAATGAGGATAGTTCAATTAGTTCATTTTCTTTGTGCACAAATTGAATCTTGAGACCTTATTTGACCTTCAACCTCCAATGAAAAAACGAGAAAAGATGGAATACTCCTCAACTCATAGTCCCAGACGATGTGGCTTGTAAAGTATCAATTTGATACAGTAATTGGCTCCAAGCAACACTCAGATAAGCGGATTTGGAAGTGATGCAACAACCCTTGCCTTTGCATTTCTGATTCAATCTAAAAAATGTAACAATTCCAGCAACTTTCGTCAAAATGCATGGGCTGAATTGTGGCTGAGGCAATTTCGCGCCAGGAGACCGGGAGGGTTTGTTGATGTTTTCGGTTGATGCAATGTTGAACTGAGACATCACATCCCAATCCATGATAGCTATCTGATAGCTGGTACCTCAATGACATAGTCGTGCGCCGCTTTCATCCAGTTTAACGTAAAAACGATTCGTGTTCTGCCACCTGATAGCTGGCCAAAAAAAAAATCGGACGTCTCCACATTTTTTTTATCCGCACAGTTTATCGGGCGGTCCAAGTTCGGTTCGGGGATCCACTGAGTTTTGGCCGTCCAGCTGCTTGCAACTTGGAACCAGGAGTCTGCATATTCTTTGAGTGACGACCCAAGGGACCCACCCTCTGGTAATTTAACGTAGCTATTGAAAATGGCTATTTATAGTGGAATTTCCCATGAAAAATGGTGATTTTCCATAGTTTTTTGTATGTTTACCAGAGGGCAACCCAGTCGTTTCCCAACCAACAGTCATCGCTGGTGAAAATTCTGAGACCGAGGTCAAGGTGGCAACTCTCCGGGCCCTATGCCCTGCCGCCACTTCTCTGGGCCCGGCAAGTCAGAAACGGCTTGGTTTTTGTGGATTCCCTACGAAACAAAAAACAGCGCGTAGGAATAATTATAATGACATTTAATGACATTTAATGACCCAGGAACCGGCAAAGCAAATCACAGCTATGCGTTGCAATTACTGTGGAACTGTGATTTCAATGCTAACCTGAGGCACATTTTAACTCCGCGGGACTCAGGCGCGTGCCATTGATGGGTGAAATGGGAGAACGTGCATGCTATGGAGTCTGCCTGCAAAGCAAAAAACTTATGTTATCCTTTTCTTCCACCTTCTGGGGCAAGCCAAAAACCTGAAATGAATGCAATTCATCTGATTTCAGCGTGACATTGACATATTGATGGCATGGCTTGGCTGATTAAATGTAATCTGCGTGCCCATGACTTCCCTACATGTGGGTCTTAAAAGAAGTTTAGGCCCTGGGGAAAGCGCTGTCCTAATCTTTTGGCAACTGGACCCTCATGGACCCTCCAAGAGATTCGCAAAAACCATGGAGAAATGTGTTCCGAAATATGGTCTGCATTGCTGAGCTGATGAAATGGAAACCTCCTTGATTTCAGTCTCACAACTTGGTCAGGCAGAATCCCTGTGGCAGTGGGCAGGCGGGGATCACCGTTATGGGAAGACATGGTTAGAAGGTTGCTATCAACATTCTATCTGAAGTGATATTCTCAGAAGTTGTATCTCAAGTGATCCCTGAAGCTGTTTTTTTCTCATCGGCAACTACTCTACAATCACCCATGCTGGACAAGAATCTGGTGAAGAACAGACTTGCAAAATCTTGCATGGTTCAGAAATCCGTGTCATCAGTCCAGATGCCGGCCAAGAAATTGCAGAAGACTCTGTGATCCAAAAAGGCTGCTGGTGTTTTCAATGGCCATAAGAATCAGAACGGCGGATCAGTGGTCACAAGGTTTCATAACAAATTACCTGTTCATGTTTGAGTTTGACTCAGTCAAGATTCTGCAGGTGAAGGGCGCAACCTGTGGAGGGTTAACATGGCAACATGGATATGCATGGAAGTTGTGCGAGATTCCTGCTGATAAGGTAAAAGTACCAGAATTGGCAGGCTCTTCCAGGCTTTTCCTACTTGGAATGGCCCTCAGGTTGTGTGTAATGAATTTCTTGGGAATGCCATGAAGACACGTTGAGACATGACACCTAAATAACATTGAATAACCACCTCGGCTCACCACCACTGGACCCATTCCCTGCTTAAATGGCTTGCCAGGGCACCGTCTATGCCTATGGCATACGTTGCGACGGGATCATCAGGCAGTGACTGGATGGAACTGGATGGAACTGGCACACCATCCGTTGTTTTCAGGATTTTCATGTCAACGTTGATTTGCAAGTGAATAGATCTGGCACTGACTCTCTCTGTCACATGAAAGTACACTGTGAGGTTTAAGTCGGACAACTGAGTTTAAACGTGTTTAAACCCTACTTGCTCCATGGTTCGTTTGGCCAGCCTGGGCAAGTTTGCTCTGTGCGCAACTGCAGCAAACATCCACCCAATCTCCATTTGATGAACAGAGCGATGCTTCCAGGCCCAGCCATGGCTGTTCGTGGGATCCCTGGTGACAAGCCTATCGAAAAACCATTGGTTTACCCTACACACCCACCATACATGACCACCCCAGCAATTCTTGAGCCAATTTGAGCATGTAACCTGCCGGGCCCGGCATGGCCTCCAAGGCACACCTTCGATGCACTCTCAGAGCACTTCTTCCATTGCAGGAGACTAATCATACTAATCATAGACTATACAGCACTAGATGTACTAGTACATACTAGTACAGTATAATCATGTATTAATGATTAATAATCATATTTTTGGGATACATTGAGCGTTGCTTCAAGAGATGGTGTCAAAACTTCCAGCTGTTGAAGATCTTTGGATCCGTTCTAATTCTGGTGTTGGGCTTCCTTGGTGTCAAGCATCGCGATGCTGTCGTTGATGCTGACAGTTTCTATTGAGTTTTTGAAGGTGGTATCAGGGGTATCCTTTACTAAAAGCATTCAGAGTTTGAGCATCAGAGTAGGCGACTAGGCAATCGCCAATTTCTCGGAAGTTGACAGGAAGCACAACGTTTGCCGCTTGGCCTGGCAGTGGACGGCTGCCACAAGAACAGGTGAGCTACGGTGAGTTAGGGGCCTCCGATGGTCTCCGGCAGTCCATTAAAGCGTTCTCTTCCCACATGATCCACATGAGGACCCCTCCAAACTATCCAAATCCACCGTGTGATGGTGTATCCTGGAGCATTTAGGGTAAGACAATAGTTGTTGGGGTCCCAGACACCCAGCACCTAAGTGTCAAGACAGGACTAGGTTTCGTTTTGTTTCTTTCGGTTTCTTCGTATATCTTCGCATATCTTCGCTACTTGGCTCGCGAAGGTGGACGGTGCATCAGCAGCACTGCCAGAGCCTCAAGCTCTGGCTTATGATTCAACTTATGCTTATTGCATAACTGTGTAGTTTATTAACTTATGTCATAACTTCTGATTGCTTTAGGGCCCGGCGATGTTTCCATTGCCATGTGGCATATGTGGCCATGTGGTGATTGCAGAATCTCAGATCTTGGTTGACCGTTCTCAGCCAGGTCGCCCAGGGCGGTGCTTTCTCCTCGTGCAGTTGCATCACCCCGGGTAGCACCCATTCCCTTCGGGGCAGGTCCAAAAGGGCCACCAGCATGGCTTCCCAAATCTGAAAACCATGGAAAAACATGGAAAATGTGGGGCGTTTGGGAGTTGATCCAGAAGGTTCTGGTTCTGGTCTCATGTTCCCAAGCATCGAACGACTTTCCGTGTCGTCTGTGTGTCTTCATTTCTTTTCATATATTCTTCCCATTTTGAGTGGTAAACATCTCGTAAAACATCTCATAAAACATCTCATAAAACATCTCATTTTTTTGTGGACTTGTCACTGGTGGTCCTGGTGAACCTTGGCAGGTGGACCTGTTGCCCGGCCCTCCATGGTGCAAGCGGCTCCGCAGAGGCCTGGGAGCAGATCAAACTTGGACCCCTGGGGCCCTGGATATGAAGATTGAGGACATCCACATAAGCCCTGGATATGCCACTGATAGTGTTACTGGATATTTTATAAAACTGATATGATATCATCATGAAGCTCAAGTATTGATTGTGTTGGAAACCTGGGCTAGAGAGGACAAGTTTAACTTCGAGTCATGATCGCGACAGCTGCAGCCGGCTGATTTGTGCTTGTGTCAACAACCTAGCAGTGAAACACCCTTCAAACATCTTAAAACACGATACTATTTTTGGCTGCTTTATTTTCCTTCTTGCCCGTTCTTTAACATAGCTTTCTTCTTTCAAACACACCACAACGGAGTAAAACATAGTAAATCCATGTAAAAGCCTCTTTTGAGCCAGGTATGTTCAGCCACAAGTGATGCATCAGGTTCCATTCCAGCAGCCAGAGACTCAAGTGCTTTTGTCACACCAGCTGGATCAGCTTCCTGCATTGACATCCCGTCTTCTCCTCTTGATTCCCTTCGTTGCACTCTTGTGCAATCCTTCTCTTCTATATGATTCAATAACATCCAATAATTACATTTAGTATCATTTAGTAGCAACGTACCAATACACCTCACATCACCACACCCTTTCTTTCTGATCTTGAAGATTCAGCTTTGTCAATCACGGCTACAAGGCCTCAGATGCACGCAGCTGTGATGTCGCCACGAGGGCCATGGCAGGCGAGACCATAAAGCTTCAGCAGAACCCCCTGCTTGGCATGAGCAGGTACCAACAACCATTCACAACCTGGTAATTCATTTACATGCACACCACTGAATATACTGTGTAATATATATTATATAATATATATAATATAATACACTATATATAATATGATATAATGAAATATAATATAATATAATATAATACAATATAATATAATATAACATAACATAACATAATATGATATGATATGATATGATATAATATAATTAAAGGGCTACGCCCTCTGCCGCCGACCCCTGGACACTGGAGGGTCATGCCTGCCTCTGTGTCGTAAGCATGAAATGAACCCTAAAGAAACCAGAAACTGACCTAAACAAACCATTTGTATGTGCGTTTGGCACTGTGCACATGCAAGCAGCATGGACCCCTGCAGGATGACACGCACAACTATGTGTTCTGACACTTTTTCATGGCTCAAGAAATAGGAGCTTTCGTCATTGGGCAGGTGTCTTGGGGACCTAAAGGGTTGCTCTAGCACTTAAGACCCATACCCGAAGCCCCCGTTCGTAACCGCAGTATGAAACTTTAAATGGCATCCTAAAGAGACCCGAGACGACACTGCACTGCCAACTGCCACCCTGCTCGTGTCCTCCTGGAGCCGGCTTTCGTTCTGCACCGCTTCGGTCCAAGCTGGAGTCCAAGGACCGTGCCGCAGGGCTAAAACACCATGGCAGTGAAGGACGGATTGGGCCCGCGGCCCGTATCCCAGACTGCCAAACGTCACTTTCTGAACCGACTAGAAACTAGCTCCAAACCTTGACTTTTCCTACGTTTCTGCACTGCCAACTGCCACCCTGCTCGTGTCCTCCTGGAGCCGGCTTTCGTTCTGCACCGCTTCGGTCCAAGCTGGAGTCCAAGGACCGTGGCGCAGGGCTAAAACACCATGGCAGTGAAGGACGGATTGGGCCCGCGGCCCGTATCCCAGACCAAACCTTGACTTTTCCTGCGTTTCTGCACTGCCAACTGCCCCCCTGCTCGTGTCCTCCTGGAGCCGGCTTTCGTTCTGCACCGCTTCGGTCCAAGCTGGAGTCCAAGGACCGTGGCAGTGAAGGACGGATCTGAACCGACTAGGAACTAGCTCCAAACCTTGACTTTTCCTGCGTTTCTGCACTGCCAACTGCCACCCTGCTCGTGTCCTCCTGGGGCCGGCTTTCGTTCTGCACCGCTTCGGCCCAAGCTGGAGTCCAAGGACCGTGTCGCAGGGCTAAAACACCATGGCAGTGAAGGACGGATTGGGCCCGCGGCCCGTATCCCAGACTGCCAAACGTCACTTTCTGAACCGACTAGAAACTAGCTCCAAACCTTGACTTTTCCTGCGTTTCTGCACTGCCAACTGCCACCCTGCTCGTGTCCTCCTGGAGCCGGCTTTCGTTCTGCGGCTCCAAACCTTGACTTTTCCTGCGTTTCTGCACTGCCAACTGCCACCCTGCTCGTGTCCTCCTGGAGCCGGCTTTCGTTCTGCACCGCTTCGGTCTAAGCTGGAGTCCAAGGACCGTGTCGCAGGGCTAAAACACCATGGTATAGTGAAGGACGGATTAGGCCCGCGGCCCGTATCCCAGACTGCCAAACGTCACTTTCTGAACCGACTAGAAACTAGCTCCAAACCTTGACTTTTCCTGCGTTTCTGCACTGCCAACTGCCACCCTGCTCGTGTCCTCCTGGAGCCGGCTTTCGTTCTGCACCGCTTCGGTCCAAGCTGGAGTCCAAGGACCGTGTCGCAGGGCTAAAACACCATGGCAGTGAAGGACCCCAGACTGCCAAATGTTGAACGACTAGAAACTAGCTCCAAACCTTGACTTTTCCTGCGTTTCTGCACTGCCAACTGCCACCCTGCTCGTGTCCTCCTGGAGCCGGCTTTCGTTCTGCACCGCTTCGGTCCAAGCTGGAGTCCAAGGACCGTGTCGCAGGGCTAAAACACCATGGCAGTGAAGGACGGATTGGGCCCGCGGCCCGTATCCCAGACTGCCAAACGTCACTTTCTGAACCGACTAGAAACTAGCTCCAAACCTTGACTTTTCCTGCGTTTCTGCATTGCCAACTGCCACCCTGCTCGTGTCCTCCTGGAGCCGGCTTTCGTTCTGCGGCCCGTAGCCCAGAGTGCCAAACGTTACTTTCTGAACCGACTGGAAACTAGCTCCAAACCTTGACTTTACCTGCGTTTCTGCACTGCCAACTGCCACCCTGCTCGTGTCCTCTTGGCGCCGGCTTTCGTTCTGCACCGCTTCGGTCCAAGCTGGAGTCCAAGGACCGTGTCGCAGGGCTAAAACACCATGGCAGTGAAGGACGGATTGGGCCCGCGGCCCGTATCCCAGACTGCCAGACGTCACTTTCTGAACCGACTAGAAACTAGCTCCAAACCTTGACTTTTCCTGCGTTTCTGCACTGCCAACTGCCACCCTGCTCGTGTCCTCCTGGAGCCCAGACTGCCAAACGTCACTTTCTGAACCGACTAGAAACTAGCTCCAAACCTTGACTTTTCCTGCGTTTCTGCATTGCCAACTGCCACCCTGCTCGTGTCCTCCTGGAGCCGGCTTTCGTTCTGCACCGCTTCGGTCCAAGCTGGAGTCCAAGGACCGTGTCGCAGGGCTAAAACACCATGGCAGTGAAGGACGGATTGGGCCCGCGGCCCGTATCCCAGACTGCCAAACGTCACTTTCTGAACCGACTAGAAACTAGCTCCAAACCTTGACTTTTCCTGCGTTTCTGCACTGCCAACTGCCACCCTGCTCGTGTCCTCCTGGAGCCGACCTTCGTTCTGCACCGCTTCGGTCCAAGCTGGAGTCCAAGGACCGTGTCGCAGGGCTAAAACACCATGGCAGTGAAGGACGGATTGGGCCCGCGGCCCGTATCCAGACTGCCAAACGTCACTTTCTGAACCGACTAGAAACTAGCTCCAAACCTTGACTTTTCCTGCGTTTCTGCACTGCCAACTGCCACCCTGCTCGTGTCCTCCTGGAGCCGGCTTTCGTTCTGCGGCTCCAAACCTTGACTTTACCTGCGTTTCTGCACTGCCAACTGCCACCCTGCTCGTGTCCTCCTGGAGCCGGCTTTCGTTCTGCACCGCTTCGGTCTAAGCTGGAGTCCAAGGACCGTGTCGCAGGGCTAAAACACCATGGCAGTGAAGGACGGATTAGGCCCGCGGCCCGTATCCCAGACTGCCAAACGTCACTTTCTGAACCGACTAGGAACTAGCTCCAAACCTTGACTTTTCCTGCGTTTCTGCACTGCCAACTGCCACCCTGCTCCTGTCCTCCTGGAGCCGGCGGCTTTCGTTCTGCACCGCTTCGGTGCAAGCTGGAGTCCAAGGACCGTGTCGCAGGGCTAAAACACCATGGCAGTGAAGGACGGATTGGGCCCGCGGCCCGTATCCCAGACTGCCAAACGTCACTTTCTGAACCGTCTAGAAACTAGCTCCAAACCTTGACTTTTCCTGCGTTTCTGCATTGCCAACTGCCACCCTCCTGGAGCAGGCTTTCGTTCTGCACCGCTTCGGTCAAGATGGAGTCCAGGGGACCGGTCGCAGACGGCTTTAAAACACAATGGCAGTGACGGACGGATTGGCCCGCGGCCCGTATCCCAGACTGCCAAACGTCACTCGGAACCGACTAGGAAACAGCTCCAAACCTTTGACCTTTCCTGCGTTTCTTGCATGCCAACTGCAACCCTGCTCGTGTTCCTCCGGAAGCCGGCTTCGTTTGCACCGCTTCGAGGTCCAACTGGAGTCAAAGGACCGTGTCGCAGGCTTACTAAAACACCATGGCACTGAAGGACGGATTGTGCCCGCGGCCCGTAGCCCAGACTGCCAAACGTTACTTTCTGAACCGACTAGAAACTAGCTCCAAACCTTGTCTTTACCTGCGTTTTCTGCACTGCCAACTGCCACCCTGCTCGTGTCCTCCTGGAGCTGGCTTTCGTTCTGGCGGCTACAAAACCTTGACTTTACCTGCGTTTCTGCACTGCCAACTGCCACCCTGCTCGTGTCCTCCTGGAGCCGGCTTTCGTTCTGCACCACTTCGGTCTAAGCTGGAGTCCAAGGACCGTGTCGCAGGGCTAAAACACCAATGCAGTGAAGGACGGATTAGGCCCGCGGCCCGTATCCCAGACTGGCAAACGTCACTTTCTGAACCGACTAGAAACTAGCTCCAAACCTTGACTTTTCCTGCGTTTCTGCACTGCCAACTGCCACCCTGCTCGTGTCCTCCTGGAGCCGGCTTTCGTTCTACACCGCTTCGGTCCAAGCTGGAGTCCAAGGACCGTGTCGCAGGGCTAAAACACCATGGCAGTGAAGGACGGATTGGGCCTGCGGCCCGTATCCCAGACTGCCAAACGTCACTTTCTGAACCAACTAGAAACTAGCTCCAAACCTTGACTTTTCCTGCGTTTCTGCACTGCCAACTGCCACCCTGCTCGTGTCCTCCTGGAGCCGGCTTTCGTTCTGCACCGCTTCGGTCCAAGCTGCAGTCCACGGACCGTGTCGCAGGGCTAAAACACCAACCATGGCAGTGACGGACGGATTGGGCCCGCGGCCCGTATCCCAGACTGCCAAACGTCACTTTCTGAACCGACTAGAAACCAGCTCCAAACCTTGACTTTTCCTGCGTTTCTGCACTGCCAACTGCCACCTTGCTCGTGTCCTCCTGGAGCTGGCTTTCGTCCTGCGGCCCGTAGCCCAGAGTGCCAAACGTTACTTTCTGAACCGATTAGAAACTAGCTCCAAACCTTGACTTTACCTGCGTTTCTGCACTGCCAACTGCCACCCTGCTCGTGTCCTCCTGGCGCCGGCTTTCGTTCTGCACCGCTTCGGTCCAAGCTGGAGTCCAAGGACCGTGTCGCAGGGCTAAAACACCATGGCAGTGAAGGACGGATTGGGCCCGCGGCCCGTATCCCAGACTGCCAAACGTCACTTTCTGAACCGACTAGAAACTAGCTCCAAACCTTGACTTTTCCTGCGTTTCTGCACTGCCAACTGCCACCCTGCTCGTGTCCTCCTGGAGCCGGCCTTCGTTCTGCACCGCTTCGGTCCAAGCTGGAGTCCAAGGACCGTGTCGCAGGGCTAAAACACCATGGCAGTGAAGGACGGATTGGGCCCGCGGCCCGTATCCCAGACTGCCAAACGTCACTTTCTGAACCGACTAGAAACTAGCTCCAAACCTTGACTTTTCCTGCGTTTCTGCACTGCCAACTGCCACCCTGCTCGTGTCCTCCTGGAGCCGGCTTTCGTTCTGCACCGCTTCGGTCCAAGCTGGAGTCCAAGGACCGTGTCGCAGGGCTAAAACACCATGGCAGTGAAGGACGGATTGGGCCCGCGGCCCGTATCCCAGACTGCCAAACGTCACTTTCTGAACCGACTAGAAACTAGCTCCAAACCTTGACTTTTCCTGCGTTTCTACACTGCCAACTGCCACCCTGCTCGTGTCCTCCTGGAGCCGGCTTTCGTTCTGCGCAAACTCTTCGCCCCTTCTGGCATCTTGTTGCTAGTAAGGCCTCCTCTGACGCGCTCCCCCTGCTGACGGCAGGGGTCGGCGGAGTATCTTGATTTTGTGATGGAATGTGATGTGTGTTCTCCAGCTATTTGCAGTCACTCGCGGGTAGAGTTTGATGTCCTGACATAAGGCCAGCAGAAATGCAGTGGTCGCCTGGTTTGCTGCCTTGATTACCGGTTCACAAGCCAGGACGACCGTGTCAATCAATTCTGACATTTGTGGTGTAGTCGGCTTTTCATCTAAGCCAGCGTTTCACATGTTTCACGAAACACCCCCTCCTTTTGCGTACAATATTTGTGTCACTACTAGTGCGCTACTACCTTAGAGAGATCGCGTGCTGCCGACACGCATCAAGGACAAAGAGCGCCAACATGATGGACCAGGCACAACCGTTCTCATTTGACTGCTTGGGTGCACGCAGAGTATAGAAGGCATCATGGCATCCTTATTCAAAGGTGTTTCAACCTGAAAGAGTCGCGCCACGGACCATCCAACACAGGGTTGCTGCCACAGCATACCTTGAAACTGCGTAAAATTGCTCTCAAAGTACGAAAATAAAGCACTTAGACCTCGAAACCAGGTCTTCCAGCCATGCATTGCCTGTTTTATCGCCTGTCCTCAGGGACAAGGGCCGCAAGGCTTCATACATATGCTTGAAAATGCGTGTCGAACTGAGTGCCAATCATCACGATAGCTGGCGACATACAGGATCGCTTGTCTGACACAGCTGGGTTCTGTAGGGAGTTGAACGTGTTTGACTGGGAGTCACTGGGAGTCTGCAAATACATCAGTAATTAGAAGTGTCAGTCTTGGAAGGTGAAGCTTTGAAGAGCTGAGACAGATTTACCATGATTTACCAACATTTCGTCAAATGTATGTCATCCGAAAAGATTGGTGATCAAACGGTAATTACGAAGGTCGGTTTTGCCATGAGGCCAGTCCCTTTGGACATGCAGATGCAAATGCAGATCATGAAGGCTCCAATCACATTGCAACACGATTTCTTGGGTGTTGTTTCTTCATGTTTTTTCTACATGGACGTCAGCGACTTTGCAAAGGCCCAGTCCTCTGGTTTTGCTACATCTGGACTGTGTGTGTGGAGCTCAAGCCGCAGGAAGTCGCAACTTCCTCAGTGCTTGTCATGATTTGCTCAGAGTTGACCTTCCACACATTCATATCAAAACCGGCCAACACAGTAGATTTCTGCCACTGAACCGTGATTTTCCTGTTTTGTGAACGTGACTGCACTTCCTGCGTAAACTCTGTGTGATCTGTGTGTGTGTGCGCGTGTCAATTCCAAGGTCAATAGCTTTTGGGCCATCCTGGAGCTTGTCAAACCCATCAAGCTTGCTCAGGCTCGGGGCAGATGTTGATATGTGCATATATTTGCGCACCACTTCATGCCAAGCCTTCAAAGCCTTCAAGCAAAGCCTGCATTCAGGCTCTTATACAAGATTTATAAAGCGCGTCAAGTGCATCAAGTGTGGAAACAGGTTTCGCTGCCAGGTTAGCACCTTGGAGCCATTCTACTTGCTGAGAGAAGGTGACCATGACAAGGAGGCAGTTTCGATCAGTTCTGCTTGTGCTCAGCATCTTTCAGCCCCAAACTCTTCAGACATCCAAAATCTATGAAGACTATAAAGACTACGAAGACATATGAAGACTATGAAGACCAAGTGTCATGTGTATAATTCTGACATGCAGTGCACGAGGCTGCAATGGTTGCAGTTGTCGCAGGTGTTTGGAAGATTTTGGAAGTGTGTTTGGCTGTGTGTTTGGCCTTGGCACTTCCTTGGCACTTGTAGGTCATTGGTGGCTTCATAGACGAGCCTCGTTTCGGAGAGACCTCGGAGGTAGGAACAGGGTTGTGAAACGGATGACCTTGTAGGTAGTTGAGCATCACTACCTTACACAACTCAAAACTATTGCTCAACACATCTCAACACATCACACTATTCAGCTGCTAGATGTGGTCACTGGGAGGCTTTCTGCACAGATCGAGTGACTGGACAGGTCGAGGCCACCAAAGCCTATGCAAAATCGAAGGGCCTTCTGACTGATCCCTCAAAGTGTGGCATCTTAGGCTCCGATGGCACAGGGGGCAGAGTGATTCTATAGCCCAGATATGCCGAAATACAGATTGGATATGATTGGATACAGTGACATCAATGACATTGTACAGATGCTCAACTTCTTTGGACAGTCCTCTGGCTAGTCCATGAAGCATTTCATGGAAAAGTCAAGTTATAACATGTTATAACGTGGAAGCCTTGATCCCTCTTGGCCGAGGTTCCCGACTCAAATCTTTTGGCTTGCCATTCGAGCTGCTGCCTTACGAACTGTAAGATAGACTAAGATAGTGCATAGAGACGCATAAAGATGCATGGATTCTTAATAGAGACGGATAACATGGTTCGATCTGTCGCAGAGATCACCGGGTCCTCAACATCCTCAACCGAGGCTTTCCACGTCTTTTGTGTGCCAGTGATGAAGGACCTGTGGCATCGTGGGCATTTTGGCCGGGACTTTGTCATTGTGATTTCGTCCTGTGAGAGCCACGTATCTTCAATCACCCAAGCATGCCACCATGCCATTGTTGCAATGCCATTCCATGGTGACGCTTTCGTGCTTGTATTGAGTTGACCAAGCATCTAGGAGAACCTTTGTATGGTTGCAGCAGCTGGCTATTTCCACACGAAGAACATGGCAATTATGGAGGTGCCTCTTCAGCCTGGCACTACCATGCACTACCGCTCTTGCCAAGAAAAACTAATCTGATCTAATCTGTATTAATCTGTTATAATCTGTTCAAAACTTCAAATGCTACAGGATTTGTGCATCACATCGAATCCCTAAGTTTCACGAACATTTGGTGCGTTGGGTGATGCCCTTCAGACTGCGATGGGGGAGCACCTCGTCTATGAAGCCATCCTGGGCAGCAGTGCCTTCCTAGGCGAACTCTGCACTGGAAGTCGGTTGACAGGTTGACATTTTGGCAACGCTGTGACAAATCGTCTTGCGGTGCAGCAGGTGACCTTGGAACTTTCCTAAACTTGGTGTGGAACTCGGCATGGACAGAAAGTGATGGAGTCACTGAATGGTTTGACCAGGGATATTAGCCAAGAAGAGATCTGGCTCTTAAATTCGGGTATGGATTCTGACTTCTCAGACTATACGATTGTTTTTAATATATTTTTTAGTGCCAGCAGCAAAAGACCTTCAGGTCATGGCCTTTTGCTTGGGTGCAGCCTTCCCTGACCGAGCCTGCTACCGAGTATATAGTGTTAAAGAGTTGAATGACCGAGACAAAAGTCAACAAGGCTTTCGGTTGCATGCAGAGGAGCACGACCCAAGAAAAGCGTTTGCCATGCTCCATATTATGCTCCTTGACAGTCGTTCATCGTCCTAGTTCATTGTCCAATGCCTGCGTGAGTTCATGGGAATCCAGAAATTGCAGCATCGGTTTTGTCGCGGAGATGTGTGGAGATGTGTGGAGATGTGTGGAGATGTGTGGAGATGTGTGGAGATGTGTGGAGCTTGAGGTCGCAGATTTTGCTGCTGGCAAAGTCCAAGGCTCTGTCCTGACCGAGGAAGTCTGGGGCTCGGCGGGCTCGGCGGGGGCGGTGGAGCTGGAGCCAGCTGGAGAGCTGCCAACATCTGCTAGTACACATATATAGTAAATTTACATGTCATGTAATATATACATATTTATATAGATACAGATAAGAATTGTATATATATATATACACATTATATTATATTATATATATATTATATATTGTATATTATATATTATATATTATATATCATATATTATATATTATATATTATATATGATATATTACATATTATATATTGTATATTATATTATATTTTTATATTGTATATTATATATTATATATTATATTATATTATATTACATTATATCATATCATATCATATTATATTTCATATATTATATTATATTATATTATATTATAATTTATTATATTATATTATAATATATTATATCAGATTATATTATATTATATTATATTATATATTATATATTATATATTAATATTATATATTATATTATATTTCATATATTACATTATATTATATTATATTGTATTATATTATATTATATCATATTACATTATATTATATTATATATTATATTATATTATATTATATATATAATATATATTATATTATATATTATATATATTATAATGTACAACAGTGATACCAGTCATGTTTCTGTGTTCTTGCAGGCAAAACAAGGAAATACTGGCACAGACTGGTGCATACTGGTACTGCGTCCTGCTTGTTGACCTCCTTTGAAGCTGGTTTCGATTGGTGTTGTTTGCTATCTATGTCACAACATTTGTGCAAACATGACAGCGCAAAAAAAAAACAATTCAGCCCAGATGACCCATGCTCTGTTTGCGCGCGTTATGGAGACGTCCAGAGTTGCAGTACCAAACTAGGACATTTCCGTAGTATGACAAGTGGCCTTTTTCGTGTACATACTGCAGAGTGTGGTCGGGATGTCAAGAGATGTTGAGAGATTGGCCACCCTTCTACTTCACCAGTGTGTCAGAGCAGCGAGAACAGATGGATCGCACTGACAGTTCCGACCATGTGTTTGAGTCAGTTTGAATGTGTGTGGTTCAATGCTCTGGAGGGTTCAGTACGTGATGGAGGTAGTGCTTTTGGGTTTATATTTGCATTACTGTATCTATAAAAATGTTTTCAAAGTCACCAGCCCAAAGCTTTCGGGAGATCACTCGGAATATCTCCGAATTGTATCTAGTCTTTGTTCAGTAGCTGGACTGCATTGCTTCGTTGCTTGTTCGCAGCGCTCAAGCTTCAGCCAGAGCCATAAGAGGTTGGGACAAACCGAATGTGTGCAGAGCATAACAGAGCCCAGATCACATGCCATAGTGTCCATAGGATTTCCGTAGAAGTATATTGAGAATTATTGAAAGAGCACAGACTTTAGATAAAGCAGCATTTCGTGCCTTTGTTCACTAAAGGCACACCCACAGGGGAATGCAGAATGACACGATTGTGCACATCGGACAAACGAATTCATTCATGTGGACAATCCATCTGCAACTAGTGCACTTACATTGTCTTAAGATGAAGAAGATCAAATGGTCCACCAACAAAGATCCGGCTACGTGTTATGCCACTCTATTCTAAGTGTGAAGACAATCTGAAATCACATTGTCTTTGAAAGAAACATGTATCCCAAGGCAAAAAAAGTAACAGCACACAAGAATTGGAGAATTCTTGGAACCGAAGGGGCTCAGCTCCCTCGGTGCCATGGATTCTCTGGAGAATCCTTGCAATGTTTCGGCTGGACCCGTGTGGGGTGCAGCGAATGTTGTGATTCTGGATCCATCCGATCCATCCTTCAATGTGTTCAATGCGTTCACGTATCCGGCTCCTTGGCCGGTGTGTATGTTTGCTCGTGTGTGTGTGTGTGTTCACAAGACTGACGTGTGCCTTCTTGTTTGCCAAGTGTCGCATCAGTATCAGTAGATTCCCAGATGCTTTTGACACCTCTTGATAATCTTAACATTCGAATACATTTGAGATCATTTGAGCTGTCAGGTGAAGAGCATTTGTTTATACAGCATGGCTGCGATTGCAGCACTTCTGGCGCTTGTGGAATGGCACTTGGGACGCATCAGTCCCAACACAGATACTGCTCGCCACCTTCAGCACCTTCACCAATGGCTCTACATCACTTATTTCGCCTTGAGTGGACTTGGCTATTTGGTAGAAGCGATTGCAACTACAGTGTTCTCCCAGAGGAGTGGTTTTTCTCTCTTTTTGATTAGCAGAATTCTCAGCACTTCCTCCTCAGCCCCGTTGATTGGATTGGTCAATGGTGTTGGAGAAGCAATTTGGCCATCGAGGAGATGGCAGGGTATCTGGATCTTCAGCGGAGTTTTTCTTGTAGCCTCTCTAACTGCAGTGATGGTAGTGGCATCAAGGGCAGGGGAATTCGCCTTGACTGTTGTAGCGTGCATTCTTGGGGTTGTACATGTCTATGCAGCTGTGATTTGGGCGATTGGCGCTTTTCTCTTTGCCCATTACAAACTCAACTGTGTGGCAGCTCTGGTCTTGGCTGTTGGCCTTGCGGCTTTGGCGGTGATGGACTTTGACTGTGGGCCTGCTGGACATGCGAAGTGCTATGAAAAGTGCATCACTTTTCCAGGTGGACATTACTTGCTCGCATTTGTCCCCATTTTCTTTGCATACACTCTTCTTGGAATGTCACATACGGATCCTCCCAAAGAGCTCACGTGGGCAGAAGCGTTCCGGATCTCCCAGCGATTCGACAGGTCATTCGACAGGTCACTCGACAGTTCATTCGACAGACATTTTCGCTCTGCAGAGCCCAGTGCGTCTGATTCCGGGGCCCGGGCTGCTGCTGAATCATACACATGAAGCAGAGAGCTGCACAGCATCTCTCAGTTCTTCATAGTTCTTGTCCATTCTTATCTCATCTTCGTCAAAGTAGGCATACCACCCAGGCACACCATGTCCCTGGCACAGATCAATGTTATTCAATGTTTATCTTTGTCTATTTTCAGGTCTGATTGAAATCAATCAGTCTTCAGCCCATTAGGTCATGATAAATGATGAATAATAAATGAGATAGTATGAATTCGAATTATTACAGCAAATCCAAGCACGAGAGTTGGCTTTTGTGTTGTTTTGTCATGGCCTTTTGAAGGCCATGGTGTGCAGTGATGGTGTATCTCATTCACAGCTTAGAGATTGGCGCTTGCACCGATGTCGGCCAAGCCGCTCGGTCTGACACAGCAGCGCGAGTCTGAAAAACGCTTTTCAATGCTCTTCATTGATGTTTCATGATACTTGTGCAATCTTGTGCAATCTTATACAAGTCATGCATGCATGCATGCATTCATTCATTCACTATTCATTCATTCATTCCTTCCTTCATTCATTCATTCATTCATTCCTTGGTTGTTTCATTTCATTGCCATTCCAAGACAGATAGACTGTGCTGCTCTGATCTGGTATGACTGGTATCTCAAACGTTATCGCACAAGCAAGCTCTATATTTCGATTGGAGGTTTCTCCTCAGTGGTCTGTGCTGCCCTCGTGTATTCTGGAAGATGTCATAGAGGTGGGGGCGGTGCAGTGCAGGTCTTATTGTTCTGTCCTGACGCGGCTTGACAAACAAGCCGCAACATATCTGTAAAAGCTTCACATCCTCAAAGTCAAAGCGTTTCCAATGTGTTTCATGCCAAGACCTGAAAACCTGCAGCCTGAAAATTATCTCAGTTATCTCAGCGGAACTCTTGAGGTCTTGGAGATAGTGACCAGTATTCAACCACAAGGCAAGGGTCCCTCGGAGGCAGGGCCCTGTGAACATCGCTTTGGGATTCCACTAGTCACTAGATTCCAAGACTTTCGAATGTGTGCCATGTAGACTCTGGATGTTTTTGCATTCATACAGCATGATCTAGTGTATTCATTTGTATATATGAGACAAATTTTGCACACTTTTCCATTTATGAATCAGCTGAGTTAGAGTCACTGTGCCTCGCTGTGCCTTGCTGTTCCATGTTCAGTTGTTTCTACACCTGGACGCTCAGCTTTTGCTGCTAATGGCGGCTTGGCCGAGTTCATAAACTCCGAGCTTTCTAACATTTTGTCATTTATAAACTGTTTATACGTCGTTTATTATGCGTGTTTGGAGAAACGGATCTGAGGTCACCTTTATGTTGGGCAATGGCAACCATGTGAAGAATCCAAACCTGCGCGGAAAGGTGCTTCAGTGGTTACACTATGCAATACTATGCATACCATGCATACTATGCCACATGTGGCATCATGTACCAGTGTACCATCATCTTAATCATATTGCATTAAGACTTTAAGATCCCCACAAAGAAATGGCCACCCACAGGTAAAGTCTACGGCTGAGAAAATGTCCGATGCAAATGGATGTAGCGTCTGCTTCTCTTTTTCGGTGGCTTGACACTGCTGACCAACTCCGTCAACGGGTAGGCTGCAACGCTCCTGAAGAATTTGACCTCGTCATTCCTGCATTGTTTGCAAATGCTTTCCGCAGTCCGCTTCATTAGGGCCATTGGGGTTTGGTGGTTTGATTTTGTTGAGTGGTGCGGGAGGCGCCTCCATAGGGTCTAAAGACAACAGATCCAAACATGCACCATGCTCAGGACAAGAGACATTGTGTACAGGACACTACATTTTTCTTGGGAAAGCTTCACTTCTCTTTGGGAAAACCAAGGGAATCTATATAACGAGTTTGAAGAGCCTCGAAGTAGCTCGTTCATTCTCTGGATTGGTTTAAAGTAGCAACGACATTCAACAACTTGGCAGTTCTAGTGCCAATTTGTGAAGTTGCAGAGTCTGCCCTCGACAGGAACTCGAACTATCGACATCTTGTCGAAAACTCTCCAGTCTTGGCAAATGACATCATCCCAGGGTGGAATCCTCAGAAACAGTGCGTATGCGTAGGTCATAGAGGATGGAGAGGAGCAATGTGGATCATGTGGAGCCTATTGCAGCCTACTAGTGCCATGCAGTCATGCACTTTGGAGATGCACTATGAAAATCTATGAAATATTATGAAATCATGATGGAGACATACTGTAGTAGATGTATGTTGATGTAGATGTATGTAGATGTAATAAAGATGTAATAGTATATGTATGACAGTATATGTCACATTATGTCACAGTGTTGAGCTGCTCTTCTTTGAGCTGACCTGCTTGAGGTGCATTAGAGTCTTCACTGCAGTGGAAAAGACAAAGCAATCGTTTGTCTGCCCAGGTCTTTTGCATTTTAACATCTTTAAACATGTTTTTTACTTTTCAGATGAAGGATGGTTAAGGCCGCGAGTAGGTTTTGGGATGTTTGTGTATACTCTTTTTCCTCATTTTCAGGCATGCCAAGTTGGAGGAAGATTTCCCGACAATTGGGTCTAAAGCTTGCATCAGCGAGGTTCTATGACATCAGGATGCAGCTGAAGTACCAGCTTCGCATACCTATCATGGACTGGAGCACTGCACGAATAATCATGAATACTTAGGTATACTTGTGACTTGTGCACAACTTGTCGGATATTGTAGGTCAATGGACACCTGGAGCTGTGAGACGCGAAATCACGTCACGCACAGCGCTCTGATGCACTGTGCACAGCGTTGTGCACCTGTGAATTCTGATGAGGAGCTTTTTGAGCGCATGCTGCCTCTTGAGGCATGGAACCTACAGTCACTGATTAGTTGCAGAGCATGAGAACTCCTTAAAGGGCAAATCATATGGCAAATATGCAGGAGGTCAGAGGTTGAGGTTTGGCAAAAGCAAATGCCAAGGTCATTGCCATTGCAGAGCAGGGGTCAAGAAATATCATTCAGTAAAGCTCTGAAGCTTGTTACCTGTGGCTCTTTTCGGTGCTGAGGCACACAAGAAGGCGCTCAAGAGCTTTGCCACAGAGAATCCGGACGAATTTCTCAAGTTCCTGAACAACTTGTGCCTCTCCCGCCCTCTGCAGTGCAACAGTGCAACACATGCTTTGTGCTTTCAGATCCATTTGCATGGCACAAATCGAAAAGGCAAGGGCTACGTGCACCTTGAAATGCGATGAACTCAAAGGAAATCGTTTGTTGTTACAAAACCTTGAAACAACTTGGATAACTTAGAGCATCTTAGACCCTCAGAGGACATAATGGGAAAGATGGACCGGAGACGTCCGGAGACGTCTTAGTCTTTAAAGGTCTTTCTCAAGTTGTGTGTTTTGCACATCTGGAAATCTGTAGCAACGCTAGAACATCACAAGGAGGCTTACCAGATGACTTGACCGCAGAGTTGGCTTGACAGAGTGCGACAGTAGTCGTTAAGTGCAAAAGTGTCGAGAAGGCGTGGTGTCACATTTCACACTGTGCGCGTCACATGAAATCGTAGCCATACTGTGCTCTTGATGTGTGATATGTGTGGCATGTGTATGCAGTGTATGCATGTGTGGTACGAGCTGTCACAGTGCTGTCAACTCTCTGACCGTGACTAATCTGCTGAGATGTTTTTTCTATCTTTTTCTCATCTTCCCGTTTCACCGATCCCAACCGCGCAAGGCTGCAAGGCTTGTGAAGATGACCAGTCGTCCTTCTCAGCCATCTGGCGTCTCCTGCTGAGCGTTGGGCCAATGTGCTATCACATTGCTATGAAAAGATGTTTTCCGAACTTCTTGAACATCGTTTGTAAATGTCAATAATCTCAAATCATCTTTCTATATTTTGTATTATAGTTTGTATTATTTTGTACGTTTGTCAACCGACTGAGCTTTGAGGCAGTTGCTCTGTGGCACTGCTGCGTCCGCAACCAAGACACAGGGTCCCCGGATCTTCGGCCTCTGCCATTAACATCCATTAACACTCAGACTGCCAATCCAATGCCAATCCAATGCCAATCCAATCTCCAGAATCTAGAAGCTCTTTACTTTGCTTCAAACACGCGCATGTCGTTCCCTCCCATACCTGGTGTGGCTTCCATTCCTTTTCCTTTCTTTTGGTCCTTTCCCTCCCTCTTTGTCATGCCCTTTCAAGAATTGCGTCGTCAACTGCCCCAGTGGCGGAGTCTCCGGGGTAGTTGTCCTCAGTTTGATCTGTTCTTTTCTATTTGATCCCCAATCTTGAGCATGATGCCCGCTTGGAGCCTCCTTGTGTTTTCATGACATGTCATGATCTTTGCCGATTTTCCGTCCGGTTTCAAAATGTTTCGCCCCTTCCCTGACCTTACGTTGACCTTTTCCGTTTTCGCTCTATTTCCTCGTCACTTCCGAAGTCTTTCGACATCTTTTTCACAGTTGTGAAGCTATGAGTGCTGCGGCACAGACCTCCAGGCATGTGGACGTGAGTGGCGGGCTGAAAATTTGGGCTGCCCTGACGAGTCTTATACCTGATGACATGGTCAAACTGGACGAAACGTTTGTCATCTTTCTGCTGCCTGAAGTTTGGGGTCGTGTTTGAGTAGGATATATAAGAAGTTTGAATTGCTCTGCAATGAGCTTCAGCCATGAAAAGATTGCAAAAAGACTGCACTAGTTGCATATGAAACTGTTTTGCTGTACACCACATGACACTTCGTGGCTCAGAAGCCTTCAGACCTCAAGATCAGTGAGCCACACTGGACCTTGCATGGACCTTGCATCGACCTTGCGTATGTAACTAAACTTTAACTAAACGGTTTAAGAACTCTGTAAGTCTGTAAGAACTCTGTGTGGAACTCTGTGTGAACTTTGTGTGCCAGGTGATGATACAGAATGTTGCCCTTTTGCACCCAAGGTGTGGCGCTATTTGGCCATGCCTTTCCGTCGAAATATGACCAGAATCATGCAGAATCATGTGTTGACACATAGAGAAACAACATGAAACAACGTTAGAACACTTCTGAGGTACACGATTTCTTCTAACTTTGGAATCGACAGTCTGAAACACGGATTTGTCTTTAGCTTCAAATAGTTCTTCTGACTGGAATGCTGGCACAAACAGTTTCAAACATTGTGAAACTTCCAGGTTTGTGCGCATATTTGTTCGAAAAACGCAGCTTACTGTTCATCAGCTTGCCGTTCTGCTGCTTTATTTCTAATATAATATTTCTATGCAGAATTTTGATCTTTTCAGCAGATCTCCTGATTGTGGCTGAACCCCCTTGTCTTTGCTCTTCCTATACTCCTACTCTTTGGTCCCTCTCCACTTTGATCCCATGTCTCCCATATGCGCTGCTGTTTCCCCATTCTTCAAATCGTTGCTGTCATTTTCTCATATCTTATCCCTTATTGTCTCTAAATTTATTTCCATTTTCTATCATTTACGACGCCTGTTTCGGAATGCTTTATAATTTATATTATATATAAGATACAGATAGATACAGTACATTTATCCAGATCCCATTTTGGAATGAGCCATCTGAACTTCCTCATTTGCCCACACCGGATCAGATGCTTGCCTTCGGCGCAAAAGCGGCCTGGGGCCAGCACAACGCCCATCCGGACCTGTCAGATGATGAGGCAAAGACAGCCGACGTTGGACCGACGTTCCAAGCAGTTCCAACCTGTTCCAACATCAGACAGCAAATCAGAAAATAAATGCAAACAACCTTTTAACATCTTTTAATATCTTTTAACATCTTTTAACCTTAATCTTTGTAATCTTCAAATTCTTGCAGATTTCATCTTTTCTCTTTGACTGTCCACGCGGTTTTGTTGGTGGCAAGTGGCAAACTGTACTTGACTTGGCCTTGGCTTGTCCAATTTGTCCAGTCACATCAGTCACTTCCGCAGTCTGAAAGTTCCGGCTTCCTCACCATTTCCGCCGAACTATGCCGAACTATGCCGAACTATGCCGAACTATGCCGAACTGTATTCACTTTTTATCACTTTTTGTGTTTTTGAGTCATTGCATCCATTTTTGCAGTCTGACGTGCCGGTCGTGGAGCAACTGACAAAGGTCAGGAGTTCAGCCTGCGTCTCAGCCGAACAGTGGATGGAATTGCATGGAAGCACTGCTTGAAGAAACCGCAATCAATCCAAGAGTATTGCCTTTCCCAAACAGTTTATTCACTCTTTTGTGAGGGCAAATCGGTGTACGAGTCCACTTTAATCCAATCTAATCATCTAATCTAATTGATTTTGCTAGAGCAGTTATGTCCGGGTGGTGGTATCAATTGGTGATATTGGTGATCGGTGGAATGTGGTGGAATCTGAACAATATGTGAGTAGTTACAATATGTTACAATGCATTCTTCCTAATTCTAATACATACGGCAAAAGTATCCTGTCTCTTTACAGGTTCTCTCTTTTGAGTGCCCTGCGAGCTTCCTAGTCACTGAGGCCACAGCAAAACTGTCGACAGAGTCAACGGCTCCGGGTTCGAGAGGTTCAAGCCAAATCCTCGGTGGACAAAGAGGTGGACGGTGGACCACCGTGGACCTGTAGACGTCCCAAGACCGGATCAAGCGCAAGGAGGTTGCACATGGTACACTGGTACACTGGTACACTGGTACACAGATGTAGATACATTAGATACACAGGAGGTATCAGGGGTACACTGCCATCTGTGGTACACGGACCAGGCTCTCAACAACCTGGAAGCCCAGGCTTGGAACCGAGTCCAACAACTCGATATGCAAACTGTTCATGGAATTTGACCGCAGTAGCTTGAAAGGGCAGATGACATGATTTGGTAACAAACATGACGCTTCAAGTTCTGCTACATCGGAAAAGATAGTTAGATACATCCCCAACCTTGGATCGGATAGGTAGTTTGTTTCATCCTTTAGTCTTGTGGATTACCAAAGATTGAACATGGATACATCAAAAGGGGGTACTTGTAAGTGTTGTGATTGTCCTGATAGAAAGGCATGCAATTAAAGGATCCTCCTAGTCAGAGCCTCTTGGCTGACGTTGCAGGCAGTGATCTAAGGAGCAAGCTCGAGGCTAGGCATTCGTATACTATGTAAATTGCAACGTTCACTGAGGTCTCAGCCCAAACGGGATCAACATATCTATTATCATCCATTCCCAAAATTTCCCAAACAGAAATTGATTCCCTATGAATCCTACGAATCCTAATTCCCAATAGCAGTGACTGGGTTTCAATCTCTGGGTCTGGGACTGGTGCGCCGCTTTTTGTCGGCCCTGAAAACTGAAACGGCACCCTGGAACAAAGGAACCCTGGAACCTGCTCTTCCAAAGCTGCGTTAAGGATGCCTCTTTTTTTCACCATTCCCACAAAAACTACAGAAATGATTGTGCCTCATTGTGCCTCCATAGCTGAGAAACCTTGATTCCCCGTGAAATCCGTGAAGTTTGTGAAGTATTCTTTCAAATCCATTTGTTTGAGCCTTCGTTTCTTGCCGGTGCAGTCTCTGGCATCACATGGTCTGGAGGCCACGGACTTTGTCACACAGAGGGATACAAAGGCTTTGATGAGAACAGTATAACATAAGATAAAATAAGTATGAAGAAGATTAAATACGTATTTCAATGTATTTCTTACTGGAGAGGTGGGGATGCTTTTTGAAATTTGATGACAAATGGGAGTGCGGCCCGAGGTTGGATAAGTGGACTGAGGAATCTGCACAAATCTTTTGAAGCAAAGATCTTTGGACCACCTTGATTGCAACGCTTTTTCTTCCGCTAGGTACTTGTATTGCGACATAGACCGACTGAGTACATACTGTAAGTGTTTGTGGCTCTTTGGATAAAACATGGGCATGGTCGATTGGTCAGGACAACCTCCCCGAACGTGCCATGCATCATTTGCTTTCCAGAGCCCTTGCACCATCGCCGCAACCCAAGCGTAGAAGCATGGAGCTTGGCTTGTTTGCTCTCTGAGATGATATTTGTATGTGAATACATATAAAGAAATGTAACATCTATAGCATGTACAATGATATGTAATGATCCGTATATATAATATAATATATAATATAATACAATACAATACAATAAAATACAATATAGTACAAGATGATATGATATAATATCATATAAAATAAATAAAATGCTATGTCAGATGTATCATGTCGTTTTCTCAGCTTCACACCTGGTCCATGACATGACACTTGAAGTGAGTGACTTTCATTGTGGTTTGTGTTCCAACCTCAGATCACGAAGATTCACGAAGTATTTTTCCCTTGTCCATCTCAGCCATTTCCATCAGAGCATCACTGGGGAAAGCCGAGGCCGTGAAGTTTGCAGAATCCCAGGCTGAAGTTGTGCGTTTGTATTTTGGCCATTAGATGCCATTAGTCACCAGCATTGACGAGGTATAAATGGCATAAATGGACTCCAAACGCCAAACAGCATACGCAACTTGTAAGCTCTTCACTCCAAAACTAGGTTTCTTGCTGGTTGCCATACGTCAGCTGAACCTGTTCAGGTTGCTTCAGCGGTGTTTTTGGGTCCAGCGGTGACATTCACAGCCAGCGGCGGTCCGAAAGGGCTCTGCTTAGCTGCAGCGAAGCAGTGCTGACATTTGTTATCATCTGTTGCATGCCATCGAATGCCATCGAATGCCATCGAATGCCATCGAATGCCATTGATTTGGACATCATCATACAGAATCATACATGGTACTTTCATCATCATTTCATTGCTGGTACTTTCTCAAGATGCAGTACCAAGATATCGGGGACGAGGGAGTTAAACTGAACAGACGAGCCTCGACCTCGGGTCATTTGTCATGCAACGTGCATAAGAGACTGCTAGATCCCAAAATTGCTGGCAGCGGGTTCTCCCTGACAAAAAGTCGGAAATTTTGCCACAAAAGGAGTTTGCGATGAAGGCATTCTGTGCTGTGTGAGTGAGCATTAGGAGTCCACCGCATTCTTTACCAAGTACTGGCGTTTGCAAAACGAGTAGGTTAGCATTTTGCTTCGTTGGACTTTGTTTCTGATCTCATTCAGCACGAGTGCATGCGGAAGAAGCAAAACTCCAAAGCTACCACTGGAGCCTTGCATGTCTACGTAAAGCATGTAGCACCACAATCACCAAACCAAACAGTATTTGCTTATTGGTGTGTATATGCAGGTCTCCTTCTGCGTGAGCTGGCAACATGAAACCGGCACACCCGTCTGAAGTGTTCAAAACGCAGTGTCATGCCAATCTGGAAGGGGAAGCAGTCTTTTTGCTAGGCTAGTGGTTTTAAGTGTCATTGCTTCATGTTTGCCGCCTTGCTCGGACAATCCCTCGTTGATTTCTCCTGCTTGCTTGTGAGTGGGACGGTGGGCGAGCGATCTGCCAAGTCAGTTTCTTTCCCACATTCGTATGGAAGCAGTCACCTCTATTCATTCTCAACCAGGACTGATGACATCAAGATTAGAGGTCTGTGTTTCAGAGTTTTGCACAACTTGGCTGTGAGTCCCACTCCACCATCTGGGCACCTTTCAACGTGCAGCAGGCCAAGCAGTCTACGCTACAATCCTAGAAAGGCTCTGAAACAAGTTTTGGGCGAAACGACAACGCGCAAGGGGCTTCCGCGATTTGCCTTGAGTTGTCTTCCGTGGCAGAGCCGATTTTTTTTTCCTCACATCGCAGCTTTTGTAGCTTATTGTGAGTCTGAGTGGCACAATCTTCCGTGAGAAGATAAGAGACGCGTCAATGTGGCCGTCACAGTTTTGATTGCTGAACCGCCCATGGTTGATGATGAATGTTTGGACCCATCCTACACAAGGCTTCTTATAAATGAATCTATTGAGGTCTGAAAAGCACACTCGAATCCATAAACATGATGAAATATGTCTTCATTGCCTTGCATGTATGCATATACATACATCAGTTACGTTCGTATACTGTACACTGACGTCGATGCCCTCTATGTATGTGTATGTAAATTATATATATATATATATCTATACATGTCTGAGACATAACCAACGTATGTCTGTCTGTCTGTCTGTCTGTCTCTATCTATCTGTCTCTATCTATCTGTCTCTATCTATCTGTCTCTATCTATCTGTCTCTATCTATCTGTCTCTATCTATCTGTCTCTATCTATCTGTCTCTATCTATCTGTCTATCTATCTATCTATCTATCTCTATCTATCTATCTCTATCTATCTATCTCTCTTTCTATTTATCTGTATCTATCTATCTGTATCTATCTATCTGTATCTATCTATCTGTATCTATCTATCTGTATCTATCTATCTGTATCTATCTATCTGTACCTATCTATCTGTATCTATCTATCTGTATCTATCTATCTGTATCTATCTATTGGTATCTATCTATCTGTATCTACCTATCTGTATCTATCTATCTGTATCTATCTATCTATCTATCTGTATCTATCTATCTGTATCTATCTATCTGTATCTATCTATCTGTATCTATCTATCTATCTATCTGTATCTATCTATCTGTATCTATCTATCTGTATCTATCTATCTGTATCTATCTATCTGTATCTATCTATCTGTATCTATCTATCTGTATCTATCTATCTGTATCTATCTATCTGTATCTATCTATCTCTATCTATCTATCTCTATCTATCTATCTATCTATCTATCTATCTCTATCTATCTCTATCTATATCTATCTCTATCTATCTCTATCTATCTCTATCTATCTCTATCTATCTCTATCTATCTATCTATCTCTATCTATCTCTATCTATCTATGTATCTATGTATCTATGTATCTATGTATCTATGTATCTATGTATCTATGTATCTATGTATCTATGTATCTATCTATGTATGTATGCATGCATGCATGTATGTATGTATAATGTATGTTATATAAATGTACACGTGTACAGATGTACACATATATATATACATGTGTTGCACATATGTTATATATATATGTACATATGTACATATGTAAATATGTACATATGTACATATGTTTGTATACATGCACATATATGTATATATATATGTACATATGTATATAATGTACATATGTATATACGCATATATGTACATATGTATATATATATATGTCTATATGTCTATATGTCTATATGTCTATATGTCTATATGTCTATATGTCTATATGTCTATATGTATATATGTATATATGTGTACATGTATACATGTATATATGTATATATGTATTGATATATATATATGTATATGTATATATATAGTATATATATATACATACATATACACATATACATTTACGCATATATAAATATATAAATATATATATACATATATACATGTATATATATACATATATATACATATATATATATATACATATATATATATATACATATGTATATATTTACACATATAGACATATAATGTATATATTATATACATATTTATATATACATATATATATATATACACACATATATATATATACACGTATAGACATATAATGTATATATATATACATATATATATACATATATACACATAGACACATAATGTATATATACATACATATATGTATATATATATATACTTATATATATATGCATTTATATGTATTTATATATACATTTATATGTATATATATATGTATATATATATGTATATATGCATACATGTATATATGTATGCATATATATATATATGCATGTATGCACATATGTATATGTACGTACATATACATATATATATATGTACGTACATATATATATATATATGTATGTATGCGTTCATGTGTGTATATATGTATACATATATATATATGTACACATCTATATGTACATTGTACATATACACACATACAATCCATGCAACACAAGGCAATGCAACTAAGATCAACTAGATTCTATTCATTGAATGCAATGCAGTACATACATGCTATGCCATGCAATGCATGTCTGGTATTGGTTTGCGCTTGCTGGCCCTCCTGCATCATTCGACTCTTGAGATCATTCTTTAATTTGCTTTGTCTACACTTTCATGATCAACCGTTGCAACTCTTGACCAGTTTACAGCTGACAGTTTCTGCAAGGCGCGGCAATTGAATTGAGAAAAGAGTGTGGCCTGTGTGGCGCTGTGCGTTCAGCGGCTTCGAGGTGTTGCTGTGAAGTTCAAAACAACCAAACTACCATGGACTCATGGACCCGGTAACCCGGTAGTGACTGGTAGCGCAATTTTCTGTACATTAAGTTATATATATATATATTAAATTTTATTAATATATTGATGAATATATATATATATATATTGCACAATATCATTTTGAGGCAATTTGAAGCACGCAGGAGGAGGGTGAGATTGTTGCGATTGCACGCGCTACCCTTCGCAGGATGAACGATGCCACCATGCAACTTGAAGAGGTGTGACTCATGGCTTACTGGACCTGAAACGGCCCAAAGCAGACCAAACTCTTTGTGAACTGATGACAAGGCACCTAGACATACTAGAGTCATCTAGAGTCATCGAGAGTCATCTAGAGTCACTGTAGTCCAACTGTATCGCACCCAGACTTGTGTTGTCAGTGAGGGCATGGACACACTCATCGAGATTCGTCGTCTCATGAAAGAAGGAAAGCAGGCATGTGGGTATGCGCAGGTACTGGATACTGGAGGAGCAAGCATTTTCACAAGATTTGTGCAATTGTTGTTCTTCACTATGGAATTTTGCCAGTGATTCTTGTGTATTTTAACATTTCTAGTGAGCTTCTAGGAATGGAAAGAATGCTGAGTACGTCTGAGTACGTTATTTCATCTCACTTCATGCGCCGAGGCATGGCACCTTCTCACTGCGCATCCGGGATGTTCACCAAATGCTGGAGTTGTTTTGAAGAATTCTACTGCACATATCTCCACCATATCTCCACCTTCATTTAGTTCAATATTATCAATGTCAAGGTTACCAAGTTGCCCCAGATAACTTTGACAAGACATGATGAGACATGATGAGACTCTCGAGACTCAAGAGTTGGCCAGGCTGAACTTCAACGTCCTGCAGCCTCCAGCGTGGCAGAAGATGAGCAAACCGGAGAAGGTCTCGATCCAAAACATCGAACAACAAACTAAAAAACACATGTATTGAGCTGTCTTGACGTGCAGAAATTCGTGTCTTGTAGGATCTTGTATGTAATGGATTTTGATTCCAGTTTCAACCTGCAAGGTGCCGATCTCTATGCCCGTAGTCGAGCAGATCCAAAGGTGAGCCTCTGAGATACTTTAGCCCCCTTTTGAGTCGCGGTCTTTGGAAAACTCCAAACAAGGAGGCAGACAGCCGGAAAGTAAAGGAATGCTGGAGGAATGAAAGGAAGAACGGCATTAGAGAAATGCTTCAGGCTCACTGCAAGCAGTACATGCAGATGGGCCATAGAACGATCAGCACTTTATGGAGCATTAGTCGGGAGGCCGATTTAGATTGCCTGCAGCTTTCCTGCAACCTACAATATCTACAGAATCTACAGTCAAAGTTGGACGAATGCAGTCGCAAGACAGCGCCATGAAGTCTTTGGGAGGCGCCCACGGTGATTATCAGCAAGCTGAATGTCCTACAGCAGGAGAGCACATGGAGAGCACTGTTGCGTTGTTGTTAGATGTTAATGCGGTAAGCACAGATTCTAGAGGTCAGAGCTTGCAAGTTGCTCGCATCAATACTTTTCAAGTTGAAGAATGGAGATTACTTCTCATTTTCATTCGGAAATATCCAGTGCTAGAGCACCCCAATTACATGGAAACTGATCACAGTTCTCAAGCAATTCAAACAACTGATAATGAAGCCTCAAATGGAACAGAATTGTGCAAAAGCATCGGTAGGTCTCCAACTGATCCAAGTCACTGACAACCGTGTTGTGTTCAAGTCAGATGCCTTAGAAACGTCAGAGATGCCTTAGAAACGTCAGATGCTGCACAACTGCCTCAACAGCTGCCTGGATCGTTTGGTCGGCCCTCGCTGCCTGGAGCTGAAGGCTCCGCAGAAGGGCCAGGCGCGTTGCAAGCGCTGCAAGCACCACAGTCGCGACACGACACTGGACGCATTTGGACATCGTGACATCGCAATATATCGCAATCCAAAACTGATCTGCGGATCGAAACTGTCAAAAAGATTTGGGACACTCTGTCGAGCCATTTCTGAAGACTTTCAAAGACCTTGTTCTTGAAGATTTTTGAAGATCCTGTCAGTGGTTCCCGTCAAAGGGTTGGTCGTAGGTCAGTGACTTCGAAGAGTACAGCTTCAAACCCAAGGCGGCTGTTTGGCCTTTTTGCCATCAGCTTCGCATGTTTTCGATTGTTTTCGCATTCGCTGATGGGATCTAAATGAAAAAGAAATGGAGAAACACACAGGAGCTTTTGCAGATGATTGCGGAGATGTACGTCTTTGTCGGTCGAGCTGACAAAGAAAAGGTGTCCTGTGCTCATGAAATAGCGATTGCATGCGATTGCATGATGCAGGATACACTTCGACCATCGTGAACATTTGTTCAAGAGCCCCGCCGAATCCTGGCATTCCAGTGGTTCGTGCACTGTGTACAAGAAGCGATCAGTAGCAACACAACATCTCCACAGTTGTGGTTGTTTGAAGAGCAGAAGAGCAAACATCACATTTTGATGCATTTTGCCTGCCTTATAGCCACACTTGGTCAACATCTAAATCCAATCCTTATGATTCCTTTGTGCTTGTCGCTTTGATTCGTGCACAACGAGGAGATCTTCATCAGGATCCTGCAATGTCATGGTTGAATCAAGAGCTACACACTTCCGCAATCTTGGAAGTCCTTGCCAACGGTACTGGATACAAATCCTTTTTCCTAGAAATGGCCTGGCCCGGAAATTCCGAGCAAAATTATTGGTTGATTGGGGTCAGTTCCAATACCAAGAACAGTAAATAGATGCTGCACATACAAGAAACAGGTCGGCCGACCCCGAGCCGACCCCAGGTTTTACTCTTCGGATCAGGATCAGATTCCCGTGAATTCCACGGGGCATGGCATAGACGAGCCATGCTGGCTGCTCGCCCTCGACTTGCCTCAGCACTGAGCATATCAGTTCAGCAGATTAAGTCAGAGGCTTTGCGGGAAGACGGTGCGGTAGTGCCAGGACGACTTGGATTATTGCTTCAATAAAGTTGAAGCAACACATTCACTTCTAGCAACAAGTACAAACAAATTCTTGCAGGAAAACTTTCCTGAGGGTGTCGGAAGTTCAGAGACGAAAACAAATCCAAGTGCTGGAACAAACAGAAGATCGTAGAAGATCATAGAAGATCAGATCGAATCAGGTCTCAAAAAAGTCCACTCTTTTGGTGTGTACATTCTTTGTCTGGCAGGTTCTTGCTGCCTGCCTACCAGGCGCTATCACTGCAGACGTCGGGTCGAGTTCTGGCAGCTGGGCCCCTGTTGAACAGCAGGTGGGACGTGAAACTCGATCCAATCACACTGAATTAGATAATATAATATAATATATATATATACCTGGTATAATATATATATATATATAATATAATATATATATATACATATAATTATCAATATATGATAATATTAAATTAAATTATTAGAATCATATTAGAATTATATAGACTTATTAGATGCCTGCCTAAGCATTGAACAACTGCCAGGTGAAAGTCTCAAGCGCTTGGCCGAAACATCCTTTAGAGGCAGAGGACAAGCAGCCTGGGGCAGCTTGGGGCAGCTTGGGGCAGCCTGGGGCAGCCTGGGCACAACGCCGGACCAGTGGTTTCAGATGGTTTCAGTATGTTTCAGTACTGATCAGTATAAGTATACTGAGCATGTTGGTTTCCCATGGTTTCCCCAAATTCGCCAGAGGAGCGCCTGGCGCTGGCTGAAGCTTTTGCGACTCTTTCAGGCTCAGAACGTGGCAATGCCCTTTGCTCACTGCCACTTGGCAGACATTACAGACTTTTTTTTTTTTATGTGTTTGACCCTTTTGGACATCTTTTGGACATCTTTTGACATCTTTTGATTGTTTTTCATGGTGGTTTTCTTATGTTTTCTTCAAACGACACGCTCGATCTGGCACGAGCTGACAGTTGCGTCGCCTGCTGAGTGCCATTGGGGTTTGAGATGTTGATGATGTTGTGAGTCCCAAGGTTTCGACGTCTCTTGCAGGACGAGCAGCTCTTTGGAGTGCGAAGCGATGGCACAGCTCGTTGTGGTCTTGTCCTGGGCAATGGCGAGGCCACGTGGGCAATCTATGGAAATATGATGAAATATGGATAGCCCGCCCATAATAAAATAACGGGCAATCTATGTAATCTTTCCATGCCTTCCATGCTTTGCGAACATTGGCCGAGTCAGCAACTAAGTGAGTCAGCGCATGCTTTGCATATTGCGAATGATCTAACAGATCTAACACTATTTCAGTTATTTCAGTTGTCAAGTACTGCATGGGATCATTTTGCTTGTCTGAAATACCTCTTCATAATTTCATTCAGTATTCTTTTGCTTGTGACGTCTTGCAACCCGATCAGGCAGCAGCCTCTGAAGTTGTGGCTGCCGTGCTTCGTGGGTATGCTGTGACCCAGGCGTTGAGGCAGCCGGAGCAAGTGGACATTTGGTAAGGCATCAAGGGGAAGATAGGGGAAGGCTTGATGGATTTCGATGGTTTTGCGGCTCAGAAAACATCAGAAAACTATCTGTAGCTTGAAATGGAACAGTTCGTGATACACATCAGCAATCATCAGCACGAAGCAAGGATGGCTTCCCACCAGAATTGCTGCAATTCATTGAGGCGCGGGCATCGAACTGGCACATGTTGGCACCATCTTTGCTTGAGGACGCAATGAGACTATGAGACATCCTTGGAAACATTTGGAAACAGTTATTACTTGATGTTACTTGCCTTGGTCCAATTGGGAATGGAACAGCGCGGCAAGGCTGGACCTATCTCGCAACTGCCAGACGTCCAGCTGTTGCGATTGGTGGGGCGGTTGCCTTCACTTTGGGCGGAAGTCCAGAAGTTGCCTGGGGACTTTGGTGGATGGGTTGTGGAGGGAAGAGAAATGCCCCATGGTATGGCCGGTTTGGATGCAATGGCACTCGCGCGGACGAACTTGGAGGTGCAGCTTTAGTGATGCAGCATGCACATCAAAATGCAATGACAAACTGTGAGATCTGTCAAAGTTGACTCAGAGCGCATAGCTGGAATGAAACTTATATGTTTGGATAGATCACAGCGACAACCACAGCATCGCATGACTCCTCCCCGCGGCTGGGTGTTTCACAAGCACTTTGGCCGTGGCTCAATCCCACCGGGGACACCTGGCATGTCACCACCGGCAGCAAATCCGGCAGCATCCGCATCCTCGGCATCATTGTGTTTTCATGCCAAGCTCCCTGCCAAGCTTGCTTTCGTCCCTCACCCCTGGTCAAGTCGAATGAACACCTTGTCCAGGCGCTCTCCAAGTTGCCACGATCCAATCATCATTTCACACAGGAGCCGAATGGAGGCGACATGCTTCAGTGCTAAGTGCAATGTACAAGAAACATCAAGAAACCCTATTTCAGAGCAGTAGCTGTCCTAAAATGAATCCACGGAACGGAATGTCAACTCCTAAAGGCCCCTAAAGGCTTAGGCAACTCAAGGCGAGGCATAGAGAGCTCTTTGACTTTGACTTGGCAGTTGTGGCAGGAGGCTCATGACTTGTCAGCATTGCTTTCCACGTCAACGCCTCCAAGCGTAGATGTCCCATCGCTTCCAGGTGTGAGCCAAAGCACATAGCAGTATAAAGCAGTCATTCATTCAGGTTCTTGAAAATGCATCATCAAAACTTCAAAACACATACATTACATCACATTACATCACATTGCATCACATTGCACAACATAGCTCTAAGCAGGGCTTGCTGGCCGTTTCCAATTTCTTTCACTGCATAGACTCAAAAAACTTGTTTTCTAGGTTGATCTAAGTTGACCAGTTGCCTGCTGCTCGCCTTTCTCATTTTGCTTCCAACACTGGACCAGAATTCAGCCGTAGGTCTTCCGCCACCCCGTTGGGCGCGCAGTGCTTACGATCGTGGAATTGAAGAAATTCACGATTTCCTCGATTTCCTCTGGGGATTCAGCGGCTTGGCCACCTGAGACCAGACCAGTCAACACCTGAGAGTGACATCCAGTGACTCAAATCAGTCAAATCTGTTGCAAAATCAATTCAACATATTCAAATCATCATCTGATCTAGACAAGACATCTAATTAGATAGACTAGTCACTAGTCACTAGTCACTAGTCACTAGTCACTAGTCTAGCTGCTCCAGGAGTTGCTGGCATGTAACATGGCTTCATTGCAATGCCAGAGCTCCCTATCATGCCATGTGAATCATTGTGAATCCATATCATGCCTTTACAGAGTCTCCGATCCAGCAGGGTTTGCATATGTTTGCATGTTTCATACATCTGGAGTCGGGGGTTCCGTTTAAACCTGCCTAATATTGCCTAGTTATAAATAGTTACAGTATAATATCAAAACCAACGCAGAATTTCTCAGAAACCATGGCGGTAGCAGTGTTTCTACTGTCACGACTGTCTGCTGCGCCCCTTTCGGCCTTTCGGCCCTTTCTTGTTCAGGTGAGACCCAGTCGTCGGTGAGTCTTGGTGGCGCCTCCAAGCATTTTCTGCTCACAAGTATGGAGATGCCAGAGGATGTAGTGATGCTTGGTGAAATACGATAGGTCGTCCCGGTCATCCCTCAAATCTGTCAAAGGCCCAGAGCATGAGCATTCAATTTGAAATGGGCATGGAGATGACGATATGACGTGAGATTATACAGTATTTGAGATTATCATTTTTTAGCGCTTTGCAGAGACAGTGGACGCGAATCCGTTTCCCGGATCACAGGTGACATCAGGTGACGAATCGGAACATACCTGATGAGTTTTGATATTCCTTTCCAAGTGGTTTTTTTCAAGCATTTGGCCTTCAATAGCTCCCAGAGCTTGAATTCGAGTGTTGCTGCTTGCCAGCAAGGAAAGCTGCCATCATCACCACCCTCAGCAGCTTGGCCAAAGTAGTACATCTTTATTGAGACTAGCTATCTGAGTTGTTGATTTGGTTTTGGTGGCCAAGAAGCTCTGGCAATCAGCAGTCCCAGCAGTTTGCCATAGTCTGCTTTGCTCAACGGCTGTGAGTGTTTCGTAGTGTTTCTGCGTTGCGCAATACCCTTGCAGTTCAGGTCCTTTTCGTGAGCCCGTTTGGCTTCACGTGGTAGGCTTGGGGCCAGATGCGCTGCGCAGAGATCCGCAGCGTGGCTTCGCGCGGCTGGTGGAGTCGGGCAAAGAGAACCTGGAGTGGCAGCTGATACTTGGATTTCTTTTGCAAAGTTTGGCAAAGTTTAGCAATGTGGATGGAGGCTGTTGAAAGTTTGGGTGTGGTGCCCGGTTGTGGCACTTCCTCTTGTTTTATTGCATTTGGTTGCTGTTGCTTTCGCATTTTTCCACATGGCTGACAATTGTTGGAAAGTACCAAACAGTTAAGTCACGCTGTTATTCTCAGCTTTGCACCTTTAGGCTTGAGCATGAGTCCGCAGAATCCTTCCTGGCCTGGTTGCGTAAGAGCAAACATCCTTTGGGCCCACCAATGCTTTTTGGCACGCTCTGGGGCTATGAAGAGGAGATGCGGTGAAAATGCAGTTCTGAAACACAGTTACAAGAGATGAAGTAGTCGTCAATGCAATATGTTTCTTCATTTTCTTCTTGCGTTTGCTCATTGCGGACTCCAGGAGCTGCGGCGCACTGTGGCACATGCTGGGGGCGCTAATTGGTTCGAGCCTAATGAAATCATTTTTGGTTGGCGGATAGACGCTTACTACGCCCTTTGCCTTTCTGACATGTGCTATTCTACGGTAGTACAGTAGTCTGAATTAGTCATGTAGTATCTTGTTGTACGAGTTGTATGTATCTTGCTGTACCTGGTCTTTTTTTTGCATTTTCATTGTGTTGATTTGCTCTCTGCTGGCAAGTGGTTACCTGTGCTGTCCCAAGCTCCCAGGCCACAGCTTTTTGCGGCGGAGCCTTGGGAACAGCTTCGACGCTGGGCGCGGCCTGTGTGAGACTCAGCAGCTTTGACGCCACGTTATAAATATTATATGCTGTGCATATATAACACTATAATATATATAATATATATAATATAGATGGATGGATGGATGGATGTATGGATGGAGGGATAGATCGACAGACTGCAATTCTCGCACTAACCTAGCACACTCTGCCACTTGAACCCACCCCCTCTGACCAATATGTTGCATCTTGAACTTCACAAGAGATCAACACCCCGCCACCCCCTCTGACCACTATGTTGCATGTTGAACTTCACAAAAGATCAAAGCCCCGCCACTATGTTGCATCTTGAACTTCACAAGAGATCATCAGCCCATCACCCCCTCTGACCAATATGTTGCATCTTGAACTTCACAAGAGATCAACACCCCGCCACCCCCTCTGACCACTATGTTGCATGTTGAACTTCACAAAAGATCAAAGCCCCGCCACTATGTTGCATCTTGAACTTCACAAGAGATCATCAGCCCATCACCCCCTCTGACCACTATGTTGCATTTTGAATTTCACAAGAGATCAACACCCCGCCACCCCCTCTGACCACTATGTTGCATGTTGAACTTCACAAAAGATCAAAGCCCCGCCACTATGTTGCATCTTGAACTTCACAAGAGATCATCAGCCCATCACCCCCTCTGACCACTATGTTGCATTTTGAATTTCACAAGAGATCAACACCCCGCCCCCCTCTGACCACTATGTTGCATGTTGAACTTCACAAAAGATCAAAGCCCCGCCACTATGTTGCATCTTGAACTTCACAAGAGATCATCAGCCCATCACCCCCTCTGACCACTATGTTGCATTTTGAATTTCACAAGAGATCAACACCCCGCCACTCCCTCTGACCACTATGTTGCATGTTGAACTTCACAAAAGATCAAAACCCCGCCACTATGTCGCATCTTGAACTTCACAAGAGATCATCAGCCCATCACCCCCTCTGACCACTATGTTGCATTTTGAATTTCACAAGAGATCAACACCCCGCCACCCCCTCTAACCGCTGTGTTGCATGTTGAACTTCTCAAGAGATCATCAGCCCATCACCCCCTCTGACCACTATGTTGCATCTTGAACTTCACAAGAGATCACAACCCCGCCACCCTCTCTAACCGCTGTGTTACATTTTGAACTTGACAAGAGATCATCAGCCCGTCACCCCCTTTGACCACTATGTTGCATGTTTTGGTTTCCTATCTAGTTTTTTTGGTTTCCGAAGAAGACCTTTTGGTTTCCGAATAATCTTTTAACCGCAATTCACAGGTGGAAAGCGGAGCCCGGAGACCTACGGTACAGTGATCTCGCCCAAGACGAAGAAAAATAAGAAATGACGATCGCCAGAAGTTCAAACTGCGGTGAAAACAAGACAGTATTCCTATACCCGCACTACTAGTATCCCGCACTGACTCTGGACACCCTGGCTTGGTTGGAATTGTTTTGAAGCAGAAACTGCAACAGTCATTCATGTCTACATTGCGCACACGTGGCTTTTGGTGTTTATCCATCTGTCAAACCAATCCTGCAGTTACGATCAGCCAGTCCTGAAGTATCCTGAAGTTAGGGTCAGCTAATCCTGCCAATTGATGGGCGTTGATGGCCTGTACCTTCTGTGGCTATGTTCCCCCTTTGAACATAGCAAAAAGACAGGTCTTTGAAGGGAGCATGCGCCGCAGCGACCTAGTGCAGCGCTTGGATGCTTGCTTGCACATGGTTTCACTTTGCGCCACCTGTATTTTGGATTGCGTCGGACTATTTTGGATTGCTTTGATATAAATCGTACTCATGATTTCAAAATCATTTGCCCGTTGTAAGCTGGAACTCGTGTCGGAGGTGGTATTGTTGGTATGGTTAAACACGGACTTTGGCAAACGCGATGTCTTGGCTGATCACAAACAAGGGTGAAAGTGAAGGTGTAAAAATATGTAAAAATCACCACATTCAGTCATGGACCATACCAAGTAGAAATTCGAGGTGGTTGCTTGCATAACTATTGCAGCCCCATGTTATCGGTAAAATTCCTCTTCGGTTGCTGAATTGCTGTGCCATGTGAGGAAGGCCTGACATATCCACCGAGCGAGTGACAAAAGAACTCCGTGCAGTGACCGCCATGCTTCAAGTTTGCAATCTGTTTCGCCTTTCTGTTGACTAATGTAAACTCATGTAAATTCATTTTAACATATTTTAACCAATGTTTACTCATCTTGACTTATCTTGACTCTCCAGAACATTGATTTTTTGTCGTTGTAACCCCCAGCGTCAACACGTTCCCGCTGCACTATGGTCCTGATGTTTTTTAAGTTCTTGGACTTGCCGAAGTCGTGGGATTGGAACAATTTTCTGGCAGGTGCAAAAGACAATCACTGAAGATGGCAGAAGCTTCTTGGCAGGAAAACAGTCAAAACATCCAAGTCATGGTGTCCAGTCAGACTTCTTAGGATGCCAATGGATGCCACTATATGCCACTTCCCAACACCCAGCACATTTCAATACAGTTTGCATATGTTTACATTATATACTGTAATATTATAATATATTTCACTTCAATCGACTTCCCAAAGCAGAAGTCGCTGCCAGGTTACAGGCCAAAAACTTTCCAGAAGGCTGTGTCAATTTTGAGGCCGCAACCTTGGATTGCACATGATTGCACCACATTGCTGTCTAAAACTTGAACATATTTGGGCATGGAAACTGTTTGTGCAACGTCTCAACATGGATTTAATATGTTTAATGATTTAACATGATTTATATAACCATATGTAATCATATTAAAGGTGATTCAAAATGGCAGTGGCAGTGAAAAAGTCAAGGCTGCCCTTCTTGTCAGGCGCGAGCAGATGATTTCTGCGGACTTGCTACAGGAATTTTCCACGTTCGTCCAGGCTAGAAAAAGAGTCACGTCACATCATTGCGATTAGCACAATATTCGTTGCTCAGTTGCTCGTCCAGCTCGATTGCAGCATGAAAATCGAATCTACTGAAGGAACTCAATGACTTGGCAGAGAGCCAAGAAGCTGCTTTGGCCAATGTCACTTGGCAGCATGGGCCATGCATGGGCCAGCATGGGGCTTTGTGATTAGAACGTATTAGAACTAGACTCACCATGACCATGACTCACCTGTCAACAGTTGGACATGAATCGTACATGTGAGCACTGTGAGCACTGTGAGCACTGTGAGTACGAACTAGGTCACTGTGCCAGACGAGTTCTTGGATCCCATCATGTCCGAGATAATGGTGCGAGACTTGGATAAGGGATGGCAAGGGATGGCAAGGGATGGCAAGGGATGGCAAGGAGATCAAGCAAATCAATGCAAATCAACTTTCCTTCGGGAGGGCAACGCTTTGTCAAGGCCAACATCGTTAGCATCTTTAGCTCTTTAGCATTCTTTAGCATTCTTTAGCAGCATAACACGCAAACTACATCAAACTACGATACCAACGATTTAGATGGTTCTTGAGCGACTTAGCATCCCAAGGACTGCACATGCAAACATAATGAACATATGCAAACCCCTTGTGGTGAAATTGAAAATCAGACTCTGCAATTGTTGGGATCATAGCTTCTCATTTTGAGTATTTGGCCCCAGGATGCCCCAGGCCAAAAGCCCCAAGCCGAACATGCAAGAAGCAACCACCGAGTGGAAAGACATATCACTTTCCTTTTATAAGTCCGAAAAGGTATTCTCTTGGAAGGTTTTTACATGTTTTTACATGTTTTTACAGATTTCCCTGGGATTCGAAGAGCAGTATTCGAAGATAGATTCTTTGTTCTTGGGGCCATTTCTTGGCAACAAACATGTGAAGAAATATACTCGTGGCATATCGTGGCCCCAAAGATGCCATGCTTCCACACCACATTCGATTCCTCCAACTCCCTCCTCCCTCAACTTTGTTTTTTGTCTCTTTCGTGTTCTTTCGTTTTGTTTTGCGCAACCTTTAGCTGCACACATTCTTTTCATCGAGTTGTACTTCCAGGTGGACCCTGTCTTGCTGCCAACCTCCAACACTATCATGGATCGGAAGGCACGAACTTTGTCGGACTTGACTTTGAGATACTTTGAGATTTGGGAAACATCACCAGCCAATCAGCCAATGCAAAATATACAAACCTGGGTAGTAGTTCTCTTGGATTTCAGGAGCTTTCTGCATGTGTCGCGATAGTATGCACATGTATGCACGCCCTGGGATGCCTGGGTGCTGGCAGGTGATCGAGCGACATATCATGTCGAACGATGACGATCCGTTTAATCGCCAGCCCTTGGCTGTGAAGGTGCAGCAGAAACGAACACAAGAAAAAAGATTGACACTAATCACAGCCTGAGCTTGTTCCTAACTGTATTCAGAACATTTTAAACAAACGTAGTTGGCGAAAAAACACACACACACATCAAAAACAGCAGAATGGGATTCACAAGAAGAGGTCTAACTAGTCAGTATAAGGACCGTAGTGCATCGGAAGTTTCTCCACGTCTCTGAGCTTGTTTGCCGTGATCTGCAAAAAAATAAGAGTTTTGGACTGCAACTGCCAAGATCTGCCAAGGACCTCGTCCCTCAAACCGAGTTGCGAGACAAGATCACGGACTTCTGCAAGAAGCACGGTATTGTCATGGGCAATGAAAGTGCCACGGCCTTAGAACATCCAGAGCTTGGAGAGCTTGGAGAGCTTGAAGAGCTTGAAGAGCGGGGCCTTCACATATGGATACCGTATGACATCATATGACCTTTACATATCTTTACATATCTTCACCTTTTGTCTTGAGATAGTTATTTGATATCACCACTGATCATTCGTAACGGTTTGTAACCTGTGCTGTTTTTTTTTCATAAAGGCAGCGCAAAACTTGCAAGGTTGGCCCGGTTGGCTTTATTTCTAGTTTCCTCCTTGCTGTGATCCCAGGATTGATGGACCTGCCGAGATGTAGTCAGTTGCAAGCTTTGCACAATACGTGCAGATAAACACAGGGCAAACTGATTTAACATCCTACTTGCCTTCCTGGTGTCACAGCCAAGAAGCCACTGAATCCAATGGTGTTGGAAGTCAAATGAAATCAAGAACACGCTGGAGATGAGACAGATCAATACAGTCAATACAGATGAGAAATTGAATTCCAGCACACAGTAGAAAGACTCATTTGCTTGAGATCCAGCTCAGAATGAAAAAGTGAACTGCAGTCTCCTCATTGGGTCCAGAAGTTTTTACACCTCAAACATGTGTGCGATTCTGAAGCAAGGTGCAGATGAAGTTGCCCTGATTTGGTCGGTAGCACACCCGAGAGGGTTTGGCAGTTTGATTCAACCTGAGAAGTTGCATTGGCTCCCTGGCGGGTGACAATTTGTGGGCAGCCTTCAGCAACAGCATCATGGAGAGATTGAGAGTGGAGCTTTCCAGAAGTTTGAAACCAGTGGGCAAGTTCTAGCCTCTGAACAAGCAAGAAGAACGTTCCCTGTATATAAGATATAACTTGATATAGCTGATGAAAGCTAAGGATAAGTAATGGGCTGTCAAGATGCGCGCAAAGAGTACACCCTTTCATGAGAACTTGAAAACAATGCAGATGGATGCAATCCTGCATACACTGCATGCGTAGTTGTTTGTTTCATGTTGTTCCGGTACGACAAAGCCTTGAACACAAAGCCGACAAACGCTTCACTTGACTCAGCGCAGCGTTTGGCGACACTCTGATGGCCAATCTGGTTCCTGGAATACCCAGCTTGCGCTTGCAGTCCAACGCGCCTCAGCGTGCCGTGGCTGGATTTCTTGCAGAAAGCCTCAGAAAGCAAGATGCATTTCTTCTCCATTTTTCTTGAAACGTAGTTTCACATACTCAACACCCGCATGAGTTAGCATCAGTGTATGTAGTGAAGCTTTTACCTGCACACATTTGATTACAGATTCCTGATTGACTTCACTTCCAAATAGGCAGATTGGCCTTATATTGCCAGATGCACTAGATATCACATGCTATCACTAGTGTTATATCATATGACACATCATATACGTATATTTATATATGATGATATATAGATAGAAAGCAGAATGTGTTAACCATTTTTGGCTTGTGCAGGGATTCTGATTAGTGAATGGTTTTAGGCAGCTGTCAACGCCATTTCGTCAAATTTTGAACACTACCAAAATTTTGCACGTTGCCACTGCATCTGAGTTACTGTTTCTTACAGCAACGAAGACTTCGATGAGGCTTGAACTGCTTGAGCTCAGATTTTCCTTTGTTTGAAATCTTGCAGTCTGCATTGCATCCGTTTGGCCCTGCTTCTACCAATTTGCTAAGCCTTCACAAGTCTTGTCTCTGCCTCTTGCAAGCTCCTTCCTGCGAAAGTCCGCGGCAAGTTCGTAGTATTTTCATATCCCTGGGTGCTTGAATGTTGACCCGTGGACACTTGGCAATATGTTTGTTTCAAAAGCTTGCATTTCCAAGATCTTAGTGGTAAGAAACGACATGAATGCTCAACATATAATTTTGTATGTTTTGTCCTCAGCAATTGCGTGGCAAACCTGGGGATGCATTCACAAAGGGCGTCTCTTTGTAAAATTGGATGCTGTAGGACTCTGACTCAGAAGGGGACGCTGCTTTGTTGGCGGCACAAGGCCCGTTGCAGAGTTTTGCAGTGCATTTGGCAGTATTGGGCTGTGGTCAATTCTGTAAAGAAGCAGAAAAAGACAGACCAACTAGGGCTTCGGGTTCTACCTGGCATATAACTTCACAGAGAACCAACGCATTCTGGAGCTTTGTGCCGGAGGTGATGATCTGGAGGAACATCGAAGAGCCAGGAATAAAAGTGGGTGGGAATGCAACCAACACATTCCGACAGAAGAACTAATATCTAGGGATATCTAGGGGAAACCCATGAAAATTGGTTGCTCAATGCTGTTCATTTGTTTCTCGGAGTTTTTCATTTGCATCGCTTTGCAGCATGCTCTTCATGAGGATGCACCGACCTGCCAGCCCGGAACCTCCACTCCTAGGTGCTGGCCTTAGTGCAACATGTTTGCCGTTTGATCTTGTTTCCATTTATATAATTCAGGGCGCTGAATTGTCATAGATTGTCCAAATGCAGAAATCGAAACGGAGTGTGTATCAAGTTATTCTATGTGCGTTGAATCTGTGAATAATCAAGAAGCGTTAGCCATCGAGAGCACAAGCTCCATGGCATCAGGAAGCACCTGACAGATCATTCCATATCAACGCATCTATTGCCAATTCATACTATGTGTATCTATCTGTCATGTATTAGATGATATGATTATATGAAGATATATGAAGTATATGTATAATACATTATTTCGCATCAACCCATTTCATGGACTTCTTGTTACTGGGAAAGATCTATGGACCGAAGGCTATGATAGGTAGGCGATTTGGATGAGTTGCTTTCGGTGGTCTCGCTCGGCCAGGAGCGGAGAGGACCATTGACCCCCGGAGCATGGACGAGAATTGTGACGAGAACGCTCGTGACCGAATCCGACTGCACTCGTCTTATCTCGTTTTGTTGTTTTTTCCAGTTTTTTCGTGTAACTTTGCCAGCCACCCACCCTTGCCGCAGGATCATTGGGATTCTGCAGTGGGGATGTCCGGTGCGAGGCAGCAATGTGGCAACATGCCCAGGAAATTCGGGACAAGGCTAAATAAGAAATACATGCATTTGACATGCATTTGCACAGGAATGCACAGGAATGCACAGGAATGCACAGGAATGCACAGGAATGCACAGGAATGCACAGGAATGCCGAATGCCGAATGCATCATCATCAACATCATCATCAGCACCAACATTATCAACATTATCAACATCATCATCATCATCATCATCATCATCATGATCATCATGCGATTGTGGTTATGGCCTGAAATTGACTTTGGTATGAACCACAGAGCAGAAATGCATCAAAGTGGCTGATTGCCTATCAGAAAGAAATACAAGACCTTTAGCAGCTTCGTAGCAGGAAAGATGCTGGAATGTGGTCTCTGAAGTGCTAAAAGCTACAGTAACTTTTTGTTTTGCCCTGAAGCAAAAGAAGAAGATTACACATTTCGTCTGTGTACAGTGTACTTTAGAACTTTTTGCTCCATCAGCGTTGGGGCTCAAGAAGTTGCGCTTCCAGTACCATGCTGCACAAGGCAAGTCGACTGATTGATATCTGTGAAAAGTTTTGCTCCAATGACCGTTCTGCAATATTCCGCCCAAGCTGACAAACTGCAGAGAGCGAATCAGGCTTCTTTTGCATTCGAAGGCTCATATGATAATTTGCAGATTGCCGGCAGAACTCGTTTTATTCATTGGGATCAATTAGCTTTTGGTCGGTTTACAATTCAGTTTTTCATTCTGCTTAGTGAAGACTTTCGCGTTGTGACCCCTTGGTTTGGTGTTCAGTGTGGACTTCAAATTCCTGCCAGGCTGGACATATTCCAGCTTTGCTACATGTGCCACCTGGTATCCCGGATGATCTGAGCGTCCCTCGCCAAAGCCTTGCTGGAACATGCCGGAACGTGACATAATGTGTCTCTTGGAATCTCTTGGGTGCATTTGCCAAGGAGAGCCAAGATCGCACAGGCACTAGCAGGCGGGTCAGCTCTGTAAAAAGTGATTCTTGATTTCTCCAACGTACAGGCAATACAGGCAATACAGGCATTAGAGGCACTACAGGTTCTGTGATTTTTATAAATGGAAACATTCACATGAAAACATGTTTGAGCCATTCTGAGCCCATCAGAGGCGGAATACCAACTGCAGTGAAACCAGCGAAGCGCCGATTCCAGCTGCAACAAATCCTTTCGCAGCTCCACGGCCCAAGCTGGGTGACTTCGTGGACAGGCGGGGCGGGTATTGACGAGCAATCAGAGACACCTTTATTGAGTTGATTGAGGTGGCAGTTGTTTCATGTTGTTTCTCATTGTTTCTCGAGTCTACGACAAGTGCGTTCTGCGTTGTGCAGTTGCATATGCTCTGGGATGTGTGGATTGTGGAGACAACGGCTGACACGTTTTTGAAAAACATGAAACAGAAAGTAATGCTACATACCTTGTGAAGGCTGGAGACCGCGCTTTCAAAGTGCCTTGCCCTCAGCCACAGCGATGTCTGCCCGGCCAAGAGCTGCAAAGCCCGCACAGAATTGCAATGGCTTCAGCTGTGGCTTTTGCTTGCTGCGGACTTGCAGTTTACCAAGTAATTACAGCCTACTGCATTTGTATCCTCACAGAATTCTGCATGTATTATGCTCACTTTCGAGGCCTGTCTGAGTACAGATCACAGGCAGAAGATGCGCTTTCTGAGCACTTGGCAGCATCCTGGCTGAACCATCTCTAGTTCAAGCCTTGCCATCAATTGCTGATGATTGCCGCTGGTATTGTACCACTGATACCTGAAAGCAGGGGTCTTGTGCGATCTTACAAGAGAACAAGCGACTGGAGCCACATTCACTCACTACACATCTGCAGTTCGACCCGGTGATCATGTTACAACTGTTACAATACATCTTCACATCTTTGTAACAGACGTATTCGCAGCCTTGGCAAGGCAGTCGACTCGCTACAAAATGTATACGAGTGTCTTGGTGGAACGAGTTACAAAAGACTCAGAACCGAATCATAATTGGAATCACACACATACATGCAATTACATGCATACATAATATATAATCATACATATATAATAATAGTAATAATAATAATAGTAATATATAATTATAATAATATTTAAGAATAAAAATAATAATAATAACAATAATAATAATAAATAATGACAATAATAAATATAATGATAATTTCATATAATGTATATACATATCCACGCATGCATCCTGTTTTTTTGCATGTGTACATATTGGATACATATATAATCGAAGGAAGTTTAGAAGTCAAACTTCCGACAATATGGACAGATGAAAAGCAGAGGTGGTAAAAGCCAAAGAAGAGAAGAGAAGAGAAGAAGAAAGAAGATCAAAAAGAGAAAGTCTCAGAAGAAAGAAGATCTAGGTGCCCGAAAAGGTAGGAAAGTCGCGAAACACTGTGTTTTTCCAATGATTTGTGGCCCCGGAGGGTCGAAAAGTAGGCTCGCTAAAGCGGCAGGTGCAGAGCCCGCTGGGCAGATGAGAGATGAAAAATTGCACGCCGTTGTGGCGCGAAGCACATTTCGAAGTCAAAATGTTAAAAGCACCACATGTTCGGACCACTTTTGGAAATTGAGATGTGGAAAAAGTGCACGACATTGTGGTGCAAAGCACATTTCGAAGTCAAAAGTGTAAAAAACTGACGGGTTCAGAGCACTTTTGGAAGTTGAGATGTCGAAAAAGTGCACGCCGTTGTAGCGCGAAGCACATTTGGAAGTCAAAAGTGCAAAAAACTGGCGGGTTCAGATCACTTTTGGAAGTTGAGATGTCGAAAAAGTGCACGCCGTTGTGGCAGGAAGCCTGAAGAACTGATGGGTTCAGAGCACTTTTGGAAGTTGAGATGCCGAAAAAGTGCATGCCGTTTTGGCGCGAAGCACATTTCGAAGTCAAACGTGTAAAAAAATTGACGGGTTCAGAGCACTTTTGGAAGTTGAGATGTCGAAAAAGTGTACGCCATTGTGGCGCGAAGCACATTTGGAAGTCAAAAGTGTAAAAAACTGATGGGTTCAGAGCACTTTTGGAAGTTGAGATGTCGAAAAAGTGTACGCCGTTGTGGCGCGAAGCACATTTCGAAGTCAAAAGTGTATAAAACTGACGGGTTCAGAGCACTTTTGGAAGTTGAGATGTCGAAAAAGTGTATGCCGTTGTGGCGCGAAGCACATTTCGAAGTCAAAAGTGTATAAAACTGACGGGTTCAGAGCACTTTTGGAAGTTGAGATGTCGAAAAAGTGTACGCCGTTGTGGCGCGAAGCACATTTGGAAGTCAAAAGTGTAAAAAACTGATGGGTTCAGAGCACTTTTGGAAGTTGAGATGTCGAAAAAGTGTACGCCGTTGTGGCGCGAAGCACATTTCGAAGTCAAAAGTGTATAAAACTGACGGGTTCAGAGCACTTTTGGAAGTTGAGATGTCGAAAAAGTGTACGCCGTTGTGGCGCGAAGCACATTTCGAAGTGAAAAGCGCAAAAAAATGTGGGGTACGGAGCACTTTTGGACGTTCAGATGTGCTTTCGCGTGGCAGGCGCAAGGGATTGTGCACCTTTTCAGAAGTGAGCAAAACGTGAGGGTTTTGTAGCATTTCCATCGTACGATGGCAGGCATGGGACATTTGACGAGGATCTGCAACGATGGATTTCGCGTGGCAGGCGCAGTACAAGAGACATGTGAGCAAGAGGCTAAACTCTCCGTGTAGGAGGTATGTATTCGAGCGCTCTCGTATGTAAAAATATGCATCTTGATATGTAAAACGATATAGTGAAGTCCCAAAAACGATAACCTGGGAATCATATTACATGTAAAAGCATTGTGGGAAGTGAAGGGGTGGTGTACATGACATGATGGTGGATACCTGTTCCAGAAGCATCTAGATCATCTAGGCTCTCAGTTGTGGGGTATACGTCATGACCAGCTCACACAACGGAAGATGTGCAAAAGTATGTTGACACTCTTGATCCTGGCCAATTTCTTTATTTCTGATTATTGCAAGCAGTTTTGCATCCAAGCACGTATTGCTACAGTATGTGGTAACTAGCTGGATTTGGATGCTCTTTTTGTCTCGCCATTGTTCAAGCCTTCCGGATGAGCGTTTTGTATTTTCCCGCTTTCATGCAAGCAAAGAACGACTTTTCCAACATTCCTTGGTTCATGCCATTTTCCAAAAATGTTTCCCTCTTTGAACGATAACGAAAACGATAACTAAACGATAACCATTTCTTGACAAAATGTCCTTCGCTGATGGATGGCCCAGATGCGAAAAGATTCTTGAGATGATTCTTTGCCGTTGAATATTATCACTTGCTTATTGCGATCTTTTCGCTGCTATGCATATTCTTTTGCGGCGCTCCATTGCTTTAGTCAATCCTGGTTCATCTCGGGCACACCGGCACACCTGCACCTGCAGGTCCGGTTTGGCGATCTTTCTCCTAGATGAAGATAGCCAAGGCAAAAGCATTGGACCATGGTGATGGTTTGCTACCCAGACGCTGGGGAGTGAATGAAAGGCATGGAGCATGTCGCTGTGAGAGCTCATCCAGACTTCTTCCAACAACTGAATTCAAACTTGTTTGGTGCAAGTGTGATTTGCAGTTGCATTGACAGGTATCATACCATACCATACAGTTGGAGCGCTGCAAAAGAAAGTGCAGGGCAGTCAAAGATGCTTCAGACGCTGAAGTGGAGGTGTAAAAAGGCTTTCCGCACGCAGTTTGCCAGGGGATGCACATGATGCAATCAGGATATACTGTAAAACGATATAGTGAAGTCCCAAAAACGATAACTTTGACGCGAGATCGCATTTTTCAATTGAGGTTTTGCCGATCGCTCATGTTGATCAGAGATGTTAGGAGGTCAGGCCGCTGATTTCCTGAGAGGGGTTACATTTTGGAGCATCAGATCTTCAGGTTTGCCGAGATGATTTTGCGTGACAGGTGCAGCACTTCGTATGACCTGGCCTCACTTTTCCGTGGCAGGCGCAGTACTTTGGACAGATGGAGTGGCAAAATTGCAAAACGCACTGGTACGAGGCTGTCAGCTCTGCACTCAACTTTCCATTTTTGAAGGAAGTCTCACAGAATTGCTTCGTTTTTGATGTTGTCAACTTCGAAAAAGGAGGAAATCTCGCAGAATGTGATGTTGTCAAGTTCAAAAACTGAGGAAGTCTCGCAGAATTGCTGCGTTTTTCATGTTGTCAAGTTCAAAAACTGAGGAAGTCTCGCAAAATAGGTGCGTTTTCAAGCTTGCAGATAGACAGATAGATAGAGAGACTAGACAACTACAACTGCAACTACAACTACAAGTACCACTACACTGCACTACTATTACAACTGCAAGTGCAAATATACTACGCTACATTAGACAAAACCAATTGCACTACGGTACACTAATTACATCTAATTCGGCTACACTACACAAATTACACTACAACTGCTACAACAGCAACTACTACAACAGCAACTACTACAACAGCAGCTACTACTACTACTAGTACTACTGCTACTACTACTACTGCTACTACTACTGCTGCTACTACTACTACTACCACCACCACCACCACGACGACGACGACCACAACGACCACGACGACCACGACGACCACGACGACCACAACTACCACGACTACCACGACTACCACCACCACCACCACCACCACAGCTGCCACAGCTACAACTACAATTACAGCTACACTACATTACACTACAATACACTACTTAAACTGCAGTACCTTACAAATACAACTCAACTACAGTACATTACACAACACTACACTACACTAATTACATTACATTACACTACAACTGCAACTACCACTACATTGCACTACACGACACTTCACTACAACTACAACTACACTACTTTACACTACAATACACTAGACTACACTACACTATACCACGCCACAGTACACAACAATAAAGTACACTACAATACACTACACGAATTACACCACACCACAACTACAACTGCAACTACACTACACTAATTACACTACTTTACAACTACAACTTAAAACTACAACTCCACTACACTACAACTACAAGTACACCTACAACTACAACTGCACTACACCACACTACATCCAGCAGTTGTGGTGGGGTGAGCACTGCAACCATTGCAACCATTCCAAAAAACACAACTCCAACCACCTGTCGGTCCATCAGTGGATTCGCTCTGCCATCCGTGAGACAACAACCAACCCTTCCTATAAATTTCCTATTTTTGAAACTTCCGCCACCGCCTTGCGCGGCACTGCTGGTATAGATTCCTGCGCATAAACCCTGCATGTACATACACACATACAGATACAAACACAAACACTACATATTTATACAAATAGATGCCTGTATATGCGCGCATGCATATCTAGATGATTACATATATCTACATAGCTAGACAGCAGGTCAGGTCTAGTAGGGTCTTTTGTTTTGTAACAATGCGTATCAACCTGTAACAGCCTTATTTTAACATCATCTGTTGAGGCATGACTTGGCAGCTCTGACTCTTGAGAACCAAACGCTTCGTCAAAGACTTGGCATGAAAGGCTCCAGTTTCGGAGGGGCTGGGCCATTTTTCTTTTGAGGTTCTGTCCTCTTTGTAAGAAACGAATGGCACCGAGGACCCAATTGTTGAGACAATAATAATTACATAATAACTAATAACATACTTTTGTTTTTTCACTATGGGGCAACACTACGGGACGTCCAATGCTTTCTATTGGAGGCTTTGAAGATGTCAAGAAGGTCATGTTCCAATCCTCTGGCACAAGCAGCAGGCAGCGCTGGGCAGCAGCAAGTGGACACAACATTTTTCCCGAACCATTTACGACAGGATCAGAACTGCTCCAATTGATGGGCTTTGCCTATGACAGAAATACAGTATGTTTGATATTGCTTGATAGATTTTCACAGGTTTTGGGGGCTTGAAATAGGCACTGAATCGCTCCGCAGGCGGAATTCTCATTCCTCCCAGCCATCTCAAGCATCAGCGCCGTCATCGCGACGTTGCTGGGTGGAAAGTGATGACACCGTGGTCAAGAGCCCATCTGGCCATGGGCATGGTCGGACACCAGGCTGAATTGTACTATTTTATAAATATATATAATAATATGTTGTTTCCGCTGGTCGGTTGGAACATGTTAGCACTCATATATGATTGGCCAACAGCAAAACGTTGTCGCACAAAGTGCTTGACATGGCATTTCAGCAAGATCTTTTCGATCTACAGCCTCCGCAGCGAATTAGTTGGCAATTGCTGACAAGGTTGGACAGATAGTCCACAGCACAACGATCAGCACCCCATAAGAACAACAAAAGGGAACACCATGCGGCGCGAATCTTGCCGATGTAGCTAAAGGAAGTCCATGCAATCACGATCCACCGAATCTAGGATTCTTCCTAGTCCCTGTGCAAACCATTTACCATTTTGATTTTTGTTGCTTCCGCACATTCATAAAGGTCCAGAAGGGAAAGGCTAGTGGGGACGACTGAAACTCAATAGGCGTCATCTCATTTGGAGCAAAGACGCCTTGACAGCGGAGTTGCAGTGTGGCCTGCAAGACTGATTTGGTGTGGCTTTACAACCATAGCATACCATGGCCATCAATTGAACTCCGGCAGCCACTGTTGCAATTTGGTATGACGAGGTTTCACTGATTTTCACGGATTCTGTTGGGTGACAGACTAGTTCTTGCTGCAAGGAAACTCTCGGTCAGCTCTCGTGCTTGGACTGCATTGGAATGGCCACAATTGATCACACACTCACAGTTTGATAAGTGGGCCTCAAGTCGGCGCAAGTCGCCTAAACTTCTGTAGCTATTTGGGCAATCTTGGCCATTTTGGCACCCGAGGGAAAGACAAGATTGGAGGCAAAGATGGCAGTTGGCAGGTTGGACCCCGTTGGACCCCGTTGGACTCTGCGTTGACCGAAGTTGGCCAAGTTGCGGATCTTATGAAGAAGCTAGCACAGGGGGTAGCATAGAAGATACTGGTAGAATCAGGTGAACAAATTGTCAGCTTGTGTCAGTGTTTTTTTTTTTAAGTTCACCAATTTCCTTTTTTTTGTTTAAATCACAGATTTTCACAGCTGCTTGACGGGTTTTGGAAGACTTGACAGTCTGCAGGTCTTCATGGCCTGGGTGCCAACCGGGACCGCCTTGATACAGGCTGAATCCTGGAAGCCTTCCGAAAAAGAGGCTGCAAGTGGGCTGCAAGTGGGCTGCAAGGGTCTCTTCGGTCTCTTCCCATGTTTCGCACATTTAAGTACCAGAAGCCACGATATGAAGGCCGGTTTGAGATGGTTTCGGGGGAACCCAGATAGTACAAGATAATGAGGTTGGTATGATAGATATGACATGATATGACTATGACTGTCATATCTATTGTATGTCTCTTGTATGACAAAACATGAGTATCTGACAAAATTATTGTAATACTATTTTTGTTTTGCTTTGCCTTGGCTTTTCTGAGGTTGCACAAAACCTCCATAACCGATAGGGGATGACCCTATGCCGATACCCCATTTGTGATACCTCCAGGAGTACGGAAATCCGATAGGGGATGACCCTAATTTGTGCATAGCATGAAATCTAACAAATAATTTTGTCCGCTCACATGAGAAGTGTCCGAGATGTCGCAGATGTCCGAAATTGTCCGAAACTTGAGATACAATGCAGTCCTTGTGCCAGGCTGGAGGGCACACGCAGAAAGTCCTCATGTCCCGCAAAAAACCCAGACCTTTGAGCAATGCGTCCGGTGCCTCTGGTGCCTCCGGTGGTTCGACACTCAGATTCTGAGAATTTGTGACAGAGCTGACAGAGCTGATGTGCTTTTGGACTTTATCATGTGGAAAGAGCTTTGGGTTGAGTTGGTTGGGCTTGAGACCGGAGACCGAACTCGTTGCAGTCGTTGCATCTTACATAACATGAGGTGAGTGCCTATCTGTGGTGCCTCATGAAACTGAAAAGATCACTCTGGCTGTTGACGGGGAGGACTGCCTGGCTTCCCTCTTCCTTTGCAGTCTTCTTATGCCACGTCCAAGCATGACTCATTGCAAGACTCTTGACAGTTTTTATCGGTTGTCCATAGTGCCACAATGCTTGGAGCATCCGAAATGATCGAAATGTGGAGTGCTGCAGGACTCAGATAGTGACAGCTCCGGCAGCAGTGCCTTGTCACCTTGAGATCCTTGAGTCAAGTTGCAAGTCATGTCATGCTGATCCGAATCATCCGCATCCATTTCACTTATTGAACATGATTGAAAAAGAAGCAATGATCCAGAGCACCTTCAGCTTGATAGGAGGTGAGATCTTCATGAACTGTTTTTGCGCAAACCACTTCATGAAAGCAGACTCTTCTTTGCACGACTCACCCTTGGTCAAAACGCGATTTCAAAAATCTTCGGGCAAGGGGCATGTAGTCGTGTTTGGCATGGGTAGAAATGCGCAGCAATGCACACAGATCACACACATAATACATAATTTATATATATATGTGTATGTACGTATATATATATATAATTATATATATATATATATTATATGTAAATGTATATATATTATATGTATATATATGTATATGTATACATATAATATATGTATGTATATATATATGTGTATATATATATATATGCGAAGTGTTATTCAGATCCTGTTGTCAGAGAGGCAGCAAAACTCGATAGCACTCGAAAGTCATTGATGATATTCGATCACGTAAACTTCAGATGTTTCATATTGGCACAGAGGCACACCGCCTGAATTCAACAGTAATGTAATGTAGCACTCTTGAAACCTTTTGCAACTCTGAGGCCGAATGGACCACAAGCAACAGTACACAGTGTTGCCGGTTTGGGAGGCACACATTACATCCAGAGGGATTTCTTATGATTTCTTCAGTGAAACAGATTTCCTAGCAACCTCCCAGTCTATCGAAGAAGATCATCGCCTCGTGGAATGTCACCAATCAAAGCATATCAACGGCATCAAGTTCTCATCCTCAACTTATGTAAACCAAGATCATTTGGTCAACTCTTACAGTGTCTTAGGCTCTTGCTTCTTTGCTGTTCCTGTCCAAAACATAGTGGTACGCGCTGATTCAAAGTCTTATGTTCTCAGAGGCTTCCGAAAGACTGCAAAAGAAGCTCCGAAAGAACAGCCGCTCAGAAGCGGCGAGTTCTGTGCCTGGGCAAAGATTTGGATTCAAGATATGCAAGATTGGGATGCTGCAGATACTCCATATATTAGATTATATTAGTATATATTAGTCTTCACTTTATTTCAAATTTCCATATATTGCCATGCAATTTTAATTGCGGAGACTTTGAACTAGTGGAACAAATGCAAAGATATTCTCGGGGACATTCTGGGACAGTTCAAGAAGGAGACCGCATTCCGAAGGGTTGCATTCCGTCTTGCATTTGAATTTTGCTATCAGTGAGGGATGCAGTTTTGTTGCCGAAACTGGACTGTTGCTTTCGGTCCGAGCGGGTATGGATGGCATTATATGGCATTAACCCACAAATCTTCAAGTCTTGGTGTCATTAACAGTGCATTTTTCTTCGCTGTTCAAAGAGATTACTGATGATGGCCATCCTCACAATCCTCACATCTCAGCACCTTTCTTCCAGGCAGCCTACAAGGAAGATGAGCCGGACTTTGGCGCAGAAACACCACCATGGCAGCTTGGCGAAGTTCGGAGTGGTAACCTCTGATGATTCTGATTCAAAATATTCAAAGGGAACAACGATCAGGAATCACGTCAAGAATCAAGGAAGCACATCACATCCAAGTTATACCCAGATTGCGCAAGAAAACAGGAAGCAGTTTCAATACAATGTCAGGCTTACCGTTTAATTTGTAGATTGCGGCAGCAGGATGCAAATGAAGCATGAATCAAAGAACGCTGGACGTTTGCGTTGAGGTACATACTGAATCCGGACACGTCACCCCGCGTGTATTGGGATGCGACTTGGCAAAGACTCGTGCGGAACAGAAGGTCACAAGTTGTAAGTGAGCTATACATAATGGTTATAATTACAATGTTATACAACATTCTTATATATATATATATATTGTGTTTTTTTTTTTAAAAAATATATACAGTTATATTCATATACTTTTATACAACATTATTTGGAAAGCTGCCTCATGTAACCAGAACATGGGTACAGCGTTGCTGCTCGCTTCGAATCCCACCTGAATCTCACCTGACTCGGATGTCTCGCCAAGATTTTGAGCTTGGTGATGATCACCTACGACATCATTTTCGTGCCTTTGGAGGTTTGCTTCACCTTGGAAGAGACAATTTTTTTAGCCTTCTTGGAAACATGTTTGCAACAAGTCTCACAGTGGATGAGTATCCTACACATATGATTTGTACTATTCACAATATCAATTCATGTTTGGTTGAGGGATCGCTGGGTCACCGTCCCTGTTGCAATCCATGATTGGTCTTGCAAGTAGTGTACGTTGTTGACAGAATGGCAAACCGTTGGGGACGCTTGCAAAACAGAAATTGCCGCGGAAAGACTTGGCAAATCTCATGCAAGAAGTCCTTCAGCAGACTAGAAGCATGACCTTGCCATTCCCGGAATTCGCCAAGCACAGGCGACTTAGAAGTCTCATGAAGTCTGATGAAGTCTGATGTAGTGTAATGAACACCCAAATGACCAAGGACTGGTTCACACGGCTTTTCTGGACGTTTGACATGGTTGCCTCATGCCTCACAGGATTTGTTTTTTCAGATGGCGCCTTTGATACGATTAGTATTATTATTGCTTTTTGCTGTTGAGAACAGAGGAGCGGATTCTTCTGAGTCTGGAAGCTGCGCTGAAGCTTTGGAATGCTTTGGGCTTTGGACCTTGGGCTTTGTAGTGGATCAGTTTCTCCGAATCTCCAGGCGTCATCGAGTACAAACTCAGTGCCATCCTGCGACGATACGCGAAGACTTGGTGCCTTGGGATCCACTTTGCTGGAGTCAAATGGAACATAATGGAACACATCTCAAAAATTATCAATATATTTTTATATATTTTTTTTTGTTTGATTTGAGTGAGTTTGAATGTCTTGATAGCATATTGTGCGCGTGATTTGCATCTTGATTGCATGCTGTCTGCATGCTGTCTACATGCTGTCTACATACTGTCTACATGCTGTCTGCATATTTCACTTTTATGGATGCATTTGAGATCAGTTGAACTTTTGTTTTTGTTTGGATGCTGTCGGATGCTGCCACCACGATCTCGATTTTTTTTCTTTTCTCAGTGGCCAAGGTTTGTGCCTGACCTCAGTATGGTATTGTCAGATTGGATCGGAAACTGAGCTGAACTCGTTGCGCCTTCGTTGGGCCTTCGCGCAAGTTGCGCAATCAAGGACATGTTCCAATGTTCAACTCATGTTCCCAGATCTGCCGGGAAATGTTTTGCTTCGCCCGCTTTGCTGAGAGCATCTCAGAGCAGAGACTGAAGGAAGTTAACAGCAACGATCCATCCAGTCCAGCATCCAGATAGAAGGAGCCTTCCAGCCCGAGCAATCCTGACATGTCTTCCGTCTAAGCTGATAGTGGTCCAGCACACAAGGGTTTTTCACAAAAAGCATATCATTTTTATTTATTTATATATATATATATAATATAAATATTAATATATCATTAAATATCACATTAGATTGCATTTGATCAATTTATCGCCTTGATATTGATCTACTGGTACAATGATCTACACTGGTTTTAGCCAGGTTTCAATCTATTTGCATTTCAGCATTTTTTGCTGAGGATATTTGGTGGCTGGGAGTGGCCTTGGCCTTGGGCAGCTGGCTCGTGCAATTCGTATGGCGCGGGCGGTGAGGTGTGGGCCAGAGATAAGATTTATCAAAATGATATGCAGAATGCTACGCAGAATGATTCGCATGTTGCGACATTTGAGACAGACGTTCTCAAGTGCATCAGAAAATCAAACATGATCTCCCTCTACACAGAGATATGCTTCTTGTAAGGATAGCTGAAGAACAAAGCTTTACAGAGTAAAAGCTCTTACCGTAGGTAGAGGTAGAGGTTTTTTTTGCAGACGGGAGGACTCTCAGGACTCTACAGAGATACTTCCATGGGAGAGCCAAGAAAAGAGCATGCAGACGCAGTATGGAAATGTATGGAATATAAGACTCAGTGACCTCGATTACAACATGAGTTTCCAAACTGGACATGAAGAGCGTTTTGATGGCAGCAGCGGTCCTGGAGATATTCTTAAAATGATTCAAACATATTCAAAATGTAGGTCAGGTTCCTAGTTCCGTGTTTGAGTACAGGCTGCTTCGGCTGCTGCGAATGCAAGAAGTCTTGGCAAATCTGACAGCTTCTAGGCTGAGTTTGGCTGCTGGATTCCCACTGACTTTACATACTCCTGATATATTATATATATAGTATTGGAGATGTTTGGAGTTTCCGTTTGGCTGCAATGGTGTCTCTGTCTCAGACGTGATACGTGGAGCCAATCCACAACCGCTGGTTGTGCGTGCGCGGCTGCATTTAGCCTTCTGTTTGAACACTGTTGGAATCAGGAACGCCTACAGTCAGATGTGATCGAGATTGTCATGCAAATTGTCAAGATGGTGATTTTGCTCGTCGGAGCCTCACAACACGTTACCTGTGTAAGCTCGTCGGCAAACAAATGCTCCAATCATCTCAAACCACTTTCTCTTTACTGTTCTGCACATTCCCAAAGTCAAGTCTCTGCATTGAACTCCAGTGATCTCCAGTGTATATTCCTCCTGGCTTTTGGTAAAAGGTTATGCTTTGCCACTTCATGGCTTGCTTTTGGTGGGCAGTTGGAACGAATGGCGATGGAACATCATGGGTGAAGGCGAAGGGGGTTGAATCAAAGAACAATCGAGCAACCATCTTAGGCAACAAATTACTTGCATGCAGCAGTATGGTGTACTTTAGAATGACAAATGTTACACAGAAGCTAAAGCCACATGATACGGGATGCATAATTGTTGCATAGTTTTGCTAGGTTTTGAAAGATCTGCTTTTGTGGACTGTGCCGGTTTGTCGGACTGTGCCGGACTTTGCCTGGCCAAACCAGTCGACAGGCAGGGGCCTTTGACGGTCTGAGCGCTGATGCGTCTTATTTGGTCTGCCTCCTTTGGGCCATGTCTTTGTCAACGGCCTAGTCTTGATTTGACTTCCACAGCTACAGATTTCGATCAGCTTGTTGCGTCATGACTTATATTCTGAGCCTTACATATAAACATATATAAACTCTGACACATGTATTATAAACTTGTAAAACATGTCTTGCACCTTGAATTGTTCCCAGTGCCTTTACAGCATTTATTTTGTGAGGTTTTCAGGAGGCTGCAACAATATCTACCCGGAGACTTCGACTGAGAGGATGTATGGAGTCACTGCAGCTGAAATCTTCCAGAAATATGTTCGAATGACCAGTGAAACCTTTCGCCACAGCATGCTTTTGTATGCCTTTGTAATATGTATGCTTTGCTCTGGAAACGACGACATTGACGATCCTATCAAGTCACTTGCTTTAGAGAGTAAAAATCATAAGACAGGCAGGCGCTGCAAGCTAAGAGATGGACGAGTTCAAGAAGATATATTTATATATATATATGCCCACAGGATCCCACAGCTATATGGTGCATGTGCACATTACACATATTATATAATATATATATATATTACTATATTATAGTATTTACTGATTCGTGACTATTTCATCCCATTTCATAATTCTAATCCATTTCTATGGAGCAGGTGCCATGGGGAAAAATATTGAAAAAAACATTAAAAAACAATCTAGCAGGCAGCAAAGCGAAACAAAGGGATCTTGTGCGGTTCCATTCACACTGCAGGTTGCTGCCTGCCTTTGCAGCTTCGTTTTCTTGCTGGTGATGCTGGGTACTCTCACATCAGGTCTAACGCAACGGCACATCATAGACGCTTGGCATGGGGTCATGACAAGTCCAAGTGCGAGAAGATCAAAAAGTACTTGATTTCTATTCTGAATCGCAAAAGATTTCGGAGATTTCTTAAATTTCTATGAATTTCTCACCAAGGATGGCAGTGGGCAGCGCCAGATGGCTGCTTTGAAGACCTATTTGCTTCTTGGCCTCTCTGGAAAAGCAAGAAGCACTGACAGGTATAAGAACGCACAAGATCGAACAAGCATACAAATCACATGACATGACATGACATGACAGGACAAGACATGACAAAACATGACAAGACATGACAAGACATGACAAGACATGACAAGACATGACAAGACATTACACATTACTGTACACAGTCGCATCGTGTCGCTTATTCCGTTTGGTCTCTCGAAGATGCAGATCTCGCTGATCCTTGAGGCGCCAGAATAGCATCCCGAAAAACCTCACCAAGCGCTTGTGCCGGAGCGCCAAGCATGCCATTTCTGGAGACTTAACTCCAGATTCCGTGCAGCTCTTGGCAGTCCCTGGGCCGGCACTTACAGACTTACTGCTCGGGAGAGTAGCTGCAAAAAAAGTTGAGAAAACTTGCTGCACTGGTCCGTGCAGCTTCCTTTGATGTGAACTGCTCCAGGTAGGGATCGAACATGTCACTGACTTGTTAGTGTTTGCAGAGACATTTCTATCATTGGCGATAAATCTCTAGGAATCCAATGACTGTTAGGCTCCGTAAATTTTCATTTACAAATGTTCATGTCCTCTTCGTGATTTGCTCGATCCACAACAGATCTTGTTGATTGGCCGTATGTTGATGTCCGGTCTCCTGTGAGCAGCCATTAAACAAGACGCACCTAGTAGTCTAGTAGGACTGGTACAAGATATGAATCCTGTAGCTGTAATCCGTGATGGTGGACTTCTCGTTCCTGCTGAGTACAACCAAGGTTATTTCTGAGCCTTTGAAAATGCAGATGCATTTCGAGATGTACTCAAGCTTCGCGCTCGCATCAAGTCCGATCCCGATCACAGTAGACCAACTTGGTATCCATGTTGCTCCTGTTCCCCAAACATCAGGTCTTATCTGGTAGGAGGATATTAGAGGATGTAGAGGGGGGAGAAACAAACATATGTGATGGACGATACTAAACTCTAGCTACAGAGCTTTTTGGCTTTAAGGAAGAATCCCGAGTGCATGTACAGACTGCTGGGCACATTTTTTTCTTGTCGTCAAGTCGTCAAGTTTTGAAATTGATTTGATTTGTTCCGGAATTTGGCAACTAAGGGCTTTTGCTCTATCAACCCTTCTTCAAGGATTTGCTCACTGAAGGAAACCAGCTGGTTCGGCGCGTCTGTCACCAGGCATCGGCCGCGTCTTGCAATTTAAGAAGCATCTTAAAGTCTTAAAGTATACAATGGCGCTTTGTCGTGACCATGGTAGCTGGATTGGGATCCACATAGGAATCAAGTTTAAATCTAGATGCTTCTGCTCTCAATTGAGACGCTAGTGACTTCACAGAGACTTCTGACCTTCTGCACATATATATATACGTATATATATATATACATAATTATATATACATAATATGATGATAATATGATGATGCGGATTAATGATATGTGACATGTCTGACAGAGTCTGACATGTATTTATTTCTATTTATCTTTCAGACGGTGCGAACATGGTGTTTCATTGTGTTTACGTCCGGTCCTCTTGGTTTTGTTGGTTTTGTTGGTGAGGCCATGGGCATTTTGCTGCTGGCGCATGGCGACGTCGTTTTCGAGGTTGAAGAGGAGCCCTCGGAGCCCAAGTTGTCCCTCGGCAAAGACTCCTTCGACTCCTTCGACTCCTTGACCGCTTTGTATATCTTTGTGAATTCTTTGTGAATTCTTTGTGAACTAAGGCGATTTAAGGCATTGATGTGCATTTTATATCATTACATGCTTCCAGAATCTGAATACATGCTTTCATAATCTTTCGTAATCTTTTATACTCAATTGTTTGAACAAAATTTTACAAATCACATTGCTCATTATGATAAACTATGATATGAGATATGTTTCTTCTTTTTTTATTACTGTTTCTTTTATTATGTATCTTTGCCTTCAGACATTTGCAGTGCCATCCCTCTTGGTCTTGATCATGCGGAAACTGTCACCAAAAATGGGCAAAGAGGACAGCGACTCTTTTTCTGTCCCAACTTCCATGAGCACTGCACTGTATATCACTGTATCACAGTATGGGTTTTCACAGCCGCAATTGTTGAAGACGTGTTGCACAGTCAGCATAAAGCCATGAAGTTGGCAAGTTGAAGCAGAGCTGAACATGGGAATGTTGCTTTGGATCAATCTCTGAATTCTTAAGGTATTTGGTGGCGTCAGGCGCGTTGGACTATACAGACTCGTATGGCGAGGCCGGGTACATTTTTGCCAGACGGAACATGTTGTCAGGTTTTGCTTGGACTTGTGTGGATTGTAGAAAATCTGCGGCGAAGTCTTTCATCGAAGCACACAGCAAGTCGTCTGTCATGCCATTGGCCAAGGTTGAGAAGGTGTATGACAAGTGCTGGATAGCTGAGCCAGTGTTGTGGACGAGGTGGAAACATCGTGGAGTCTTGGCATACTTGGTACCATTGGCAACAAAGAAGGGCACAAAGAAGAAGGGCCCCAAGACCCAAGATTCAGACATCAGAAAAAACGATCGTATTGAAAGAGCTGAATTGTTTTCAAAAACATTCGAAAGCCACCAAAGAACGCATCCCGCTGTCTCATCATTCTCATCATGTTCATCTCGTCATTGTTAGCGCCGTCACCATCCCCGTCATCCGGGTCATCATGGTCATTATCATTTGGTCAGCGCATCAACTTTGGGGCAGAACGCGTCACACAGCTGCCCTGGTCGCAAGGAACTCTTGTTGCAATCAGTGACGTCAAGATGGCCATGCTTGATGCTACCAGCTTCCAGGCAGGAAATTTCTCGGGTGCTGCCAGTCCTGTGTAGAGATGTGTAGAGCCTACACAATGTGCAACTGCTCCACCAGTGCCTGTGTGCACGTAAACCACGAATATACATACCCTTTTGATCTCTTTGGAGCATCTTGCAGCACTTTTTACACTTCTGGGTGTGCAAGTCGCACCTCAAAAGATCCTCAAAGCATTGAGTTCAATTGCCTTCGCTGTTTCCTCGAGGAAATTTGCAGACAAGCCATTTCGAAGAAGAATCCAGTACCGGAGCTCAGATTGGCTCAACATCCTGCAGAGAAAAGTCGTATCTTTGCGTGTGTTGTGCTGTAAGCAGTAGTGACTGCAGTGACTGCAATCTCCAGGCATGTCTGCCGATCATTGCGTACGCATTGGAGTGGCTTTTCTGAATTGACGTATTGATACGTATTGGAGGGATTCCAATGGCTGGCTTGAAGCAGGCAAGCAGGTCAACGATTCAAGACCTGGCCTGGGTTTCTTTTGCATTGTAGCGAAATGCAGCGAAAAGCATACATTACATAATTATACAATATTATACAATATTATACATAATTCATATAATTACAGTAACATACATATAAATCATATTGTATATTGCAACGTATTGAAACAGTATCAAGAGATGTTGACTTTCAGACCCGTGACGAAATGCAATGGGTTCACTTTTGTTCTATAGGGCCAGACTGAGAATACACCATTAGTATCCATTAGTGCAATACTGCCATGATCAAACTACTGGTACTTTCAATGATTGATTTGCAGCTTTTTCGGCGTCCTCCTTTCCCACCATGTCTGAAGCGGGCCAACAAAGAATGACCACTAACCTTTACTAAACACAATCCAACCGTTCCAATCTGTGTCGTTTTGCGAGACTCGGCTGTACCAAGGTTTGTGAAGGAGTTGAACGAGCGGAGCTTTCCTACTGACTTGCCTGAAAGCGCATAATTTGGAAGGGGAGCGCTCCCCGGATTCGTATAGATCGTGTACCTAGGAAATTTTGTTTTGCACTTCTATGCCGTGTGTTTATCGCCAAAAACCATGAGGTGCTAGTGGAGTCTGCTGGGTCGCCCTGGTACCCATTGCGCATTCAACACTGTCGACTCAATCCAAAGATAAGGGCATAGAGCAGGAATAGAAGTGCCATGTCGCATGCAGTCACAATGGCCAAGCCATGGGTCTTCATGCGACACGTTGGGCATGCTCAAATTTGCAAAGTTGGAGGTGACCATGGACATCATGGACTTGATGCAACATGATGTAGTAACCAATGTAGTACATGATGTAACACGATTGCAACACGATAGTAACATTGATATAACCATGTGCAACCTTTCATTACGGCATAGCCCGCTATTTTAGATCAGCGCTAGCCAGCATGGTGTGAATCGGTACATGTCCAAGTCACTTCACACATTCTAAGGAGACCATAGGAGACCCATTTCTGTATCTTTCGAATTGCATCGAATTGCATGTAAGCAGCCCCTGTGCAGCCTTGCGCCGATCTGGCGCGCCATTTTTGAACCTGAGTTGGTTGTTACCCGTGACCAAGTCCGTAGTTTCGTTCTGGAAAGTGGTGTGGGTGGATCATTCTGAGCTTGGTTGGTCATATGTTTGAGTCTGAAATTCATTCAACTTTCTTTCTTTGTTTTTTTGCCACCCGTGCACTGGCTCATCACAAAGAGGCCAATGCCAGAGCTCAGTGTCAGAGCTCCGCTTTCTGGCAAACCGAACAGCCAACTTCGAGTTTCAGGACTTGAACCTGGCGCAACGGCGCAACGCCAATTCATTCCTTCTGTGCTAATCTTTCACGCTCTTTCATTTCCGCAGCGTTCAAAAACAACACTCGGATGTAAGGTGCGAGAATGTTCTCCAGCATTGCTGTACTTGATATGACACATGTATATGATATATGATGTACTACGATTGCATAATTATATAGAACTAACAATAACTAACATATACATAATGCAGTTAATGCAGCTTAACATGGGTCTATACAGGTTCTTGGTCACCTGGTGTCACCTGGTATGCAGTCAATGGCGGTGATGATAGTTACATTGGTCAGGGAGTGCCCTGTCCGAGTGCGAGCACCGCTCGAAGAAGCGGCAGGCAACACGGGCACAGTGTCGGCCGCACTTTATCTCTCGCTGATTGATATTCTGTTCTTGGTAGTTTAAATCTGATCTTATGAAATATTATATTGAAAGTGATTTCTTTGAGTTGTTCACTGTTCACAATTTGGGGTGTAGATCCGTTAGGTTTAGGTCCGCTACCTTTCAAATCTAAAAAAGACAAAAACAACAGAAGTTCATGTCTGATTGCGGTATCACCAAGAGGCAGTAATGAAGCAAAAGAAACTGCGGGCATGACCTGTTTTTTTCTATCAAAGCAATGCGATTTTTTTCGGGATAAGCCGTTGATTGAAACAATGGCAACTAATCTAATGACAAGTGATCCCTGTCAGTTGAAACTGACGATTGAGGGTTCTGAACGTAGCAGTAGGCATGACCTCGGCTCAATTGACACTGACCTTAAGCCCACGCAACAATAGACACCGGCAACAGCAATGCCAAGTAATGACAACTTTCGCACCTGTATATGCAAGCACATCACCCCTTTAGACACTTGTTGGCCCATTGTTTGAGCAATTTTGAGCAACTTTGAGCAGTTTTGAGTAGTTTTTTCGGGCCAGCTTGGGTCATTTCGAGCAATTTTGAGCATTTTTGTCGGGCAAGTTTGGGTCATGTCGAGCAATTCTGAACAATTTTTGGAAGCACAATATGACACTGTTGACCTTGGACAGTGTTCAAAATGTCTCAATTGAGGCTGCTTTGAGACATCTTACTTTGGCTGAGAAAGGTAGCTGATTTAAACCCCACGGATCTAGACCCTAAAACGAGATCAGTGAGTTGTGTGGAGTCAGCTTTGGTTTCGTCTAAGAGCGAGATTTAAAAAGGGTTTGACTAGCAGTAAATGCCGCTAAGAGCCCTCAAAATATGACAATATGATGCGATTTTGCTCTGGATTTCAGGATAGTGTCTCTGTTGATCTCTGTTGAATGCTGACCTGGTGCAGGATGGCGGCTGGGAGTTTCAGTTTGGGACTAAGCATGGCATGTCAAACTCTTGCACGCAATAACAATTCAGAATGAAACTGTGAAGAGCAGGGATGCAAGAATTCGTACTCGAATGAGAATGCTGAAATCATATTTTTCGTGCTGAGCGGATCCTATGGGTTTGAAACTTAATCTGTCAAGCTTCTAAGGCACCTGAACTGGGACCTCGACCAAACCTCTTGGACGAGGAGACTTCCACTTGCGCAGACCATTGGTAGCAGAGTGGTAGCAGAATGCATCAAGGTTTGGAGAAACCGGACAAGCTATCACCGGAGAAAGAAGTCTCGAAGCTTCCTAGCGACAGCCGCAGGAGTCTGAAGGGGATGCCAATCAAGTGGGGACACTCGGTGACTGTCTTGCACGACGGGTGCCAGGCATGTGATTGAAGTAGTTCCCCTTTTGACTCTAAAGGGGTGTGAATGCTTGCTCTTGAAGCGACTACTGTAGTAGTACTGCTGCTGCTGCTTCCTTTTCTGCTGCAGTAATTGAACCATCCTCACTTCCAGTAGTCTGCAATGGCACACGATGTTCTTGGAAGCGACAATGACCTGTAGGCAACACAGCTTAGGAGTTCCTCTTTCTTTCTCCAACCTGGGCCCATTTAACTCATAGTTATTAAGTATAATTATATAACATATCAAATATATCCATCCCCGTTTGTCAATCAACTCAGGCAGAGGGCGAGGCAGGGAGTGATATGGGCGCGAAACATGAGTTGCTGGAGAATTCTGGAGAGGTCTTGGTGAAGTGTTGGAGTCTGTTAGAGTCTGTTTTGAACAAACGTTGAAGAAGTCCGTATCTCACAGGCACGGGGTTACCCTGGCTACTCCTGGCGAGAGGCGCTCGTTTTTCGTGTTGAAGGCAAAGTGGATCAGCAATTCATGTTGTCAACGTGCTTTCTTCACAAGCTTGAAAAGACATGGGCCTAGGGAATGTTCTCATGTGGGAAGTGATGCAATTCCAGACACTTTGCCGCTTTCCTGGCTTGCTTCAGCTGGGATCCCCGGTGATACTGCACGTACTGCACACCACACATATGCTGAGACATGCTGAGACATGCTGAGACATGCTGAGACATGCTGTGTCGGACATGCTGTGCGATTGACTGGCCTAGGCTATACCCACTAGCAGCTGCGAGCGAGGCACTATATAATGTCTGATTTGGCACCGATTGTCAGCATGTACATGAAATGAAGCTTCCATGTCATCAGGGCTAAAGCGGCTAAAAACATCTAAAAACATGGCATCAGCAGGATCCTGGCTCTGAAGCTGGTGGTGGAACGCTGAGTGTCGGAGTTGCATACAACTGTGCTGCCGCAGAGCTTCGCACTTTTTATCTTTCTTCCACCATCTTCCACCTTAATCATCCATTTTCTGCGCATTTGCTCTCATACGAGCTCAAACTTCGGTAGATAAAAGACTGATGTATTTGAATTTCCCCGAACTCTGCGTTCCTAATGCACTTCATATCCATGGATTGAGCATGGAGCATCCCATCCGAAATTATTCCGATGTGGATGTTACATCTAGGAATAATTTTCCAGAATAATTTCCTTGGGAATAATTTTTAGGCACTATGGGCAAAGTGTAGGTGGCAAGACATTGGAATAATTTTGGTTAAAAGAGACAACATGATGTGGATAGACATTGGAATACTTTTGATATGTAGCCTTTCAAAATGCGTGAAATTATGTGTTATAACATATCATCAAACGGTTCAAATGTTGGAACGAACTATATAGGTTTAATCTGTGATGTATCTTGCATAATCTGTAAACAACTAAATCTTCTTTTTCTAGCTTGACCAAGAAAGATCGAGAAACTTTAAAACCAAATTTAACAAGTGACCTGAGGAACCGTTTCTTGACGCCAAGAAACCAATCTCAAGGTCACTTGTAAAAATTGGGTTTGAAATCCTCTTGACTTTTGCTGGCAAAATGACTGAAGTCGTTTTGAGGGATTTTGCATGAGTAATAAAGTGAAAATGCATTGATCACCAACCTTCTTCCCCCAAAATTCTATCTCCGAAACCACCCGTATCCTCACCTGCACGCGTGTAAATATATTCTTGCTGTCAACATATGTTTGGCACCCCTGTTGTATATAGGTTTAACCTGTAACTTAGATAGCTTGTGACTAGCCACATATTTTTCTGGGCTCAAGGAATGTCAAGGAATGTCAAGGAATACAAGATGTTGTGTTGATGTATTGTCAATGATTTTCAATTCAGCATGCGGTGATCCTCAGCCCTTTCCCACCAATATTCTACCTCCGAAACCACCCGCATCCTCCACCTGCGGGCGTCAAGATTACTCCTGGTGTCAACATACCCCTAGGACCCGTGCTTTATAGAGGTGTAGCCTGTAAAGTAGCTTGCGCAGTCTGCACATAGCATTTGTGTATTTCTGGCCTCAAGGAATATCAAGCAATCAAAGAGATCATTCTGATGCATTTTGACCTTCAGTCGTGAATGCAATTAATGATCACCAACCCTCTTCCACCAATCCATATCCGACAGCGCCCGCATCCTCCAACTGCGGGCGTCGAAATATATTCCTGGTGTCAACGCATGTCTGGCACCCCTGTTTTGTATAAGTTTAAACCTGTAGCTTACATAGTCTGTGACTAGCTACGGCTTCTTTTTTTGGAAGTCAAGGAATGAAGGATGTCGTTCTGATGCGTTTTGAATGAATTTCAAGTCAACTTACAATGATCATAAGCCCTCTTCCACCAATATTCTACCTCCGAAACCACCGGCGTCCTCCACCTGCACGCGTCAAAATTATTCCTTGTGTCAGGACATGTCTGGCACCCCTGTTTGTTTAGGCTTGAATACGCTCTGCAACTCTTTCCAGAATCAGAGGTACCAAGGACCCCCTGTAATTGCAGGGGCGATGATAAAACACGGGTTCCGG